AATACATCTAGGCTGGTGCATAACGGTGAATCTATACCCATATATCATTTGAGAAAGTGCTTACAGAATCTAACATAAGAACTAAAGCAGCTGAAAACCTCTTGGCAGATGACAATCTATTACATGACGTCACTGCACGTGCATACCGTGCTATTCCGTCGACGCCAAGCGTACTATGGACACCAGGCGTGACGTGGGTTATTGACAGAAATAAAATACCAAGGAATCATATTTTCTATGATAGTCCAAATGGCATTTTTCTGTAAACCGATCTTGTCATGCTAATCCATTGGCGAATTCCACCATCTTGATTGAATGGATCATTCTTTGTGCAGTGGTCGCTTAGAAGTGCCACCGTGGCGCCTATTATGGTATCAGCCCTGCCTGGTAATTTGATGAGTTTGGAGATGTTGCTGATGGTGCTAATGACAACGGAGATGCTGCCAAGATGGAGATGTGAAAACATAGAGTACAAAAGTGTTAACTCTATAAACTGCTGTCTTACGCTCGAAGAGTCAATTTCCAAAACGGTGTTAATGTGCTTTTGAACGCCACCTTGGACAAAACATATTTGATCAGTTCTAACTGACGTGAAATGAGCTAATAACGCCCGGGTCACGTCATTAGAAGTACAGTTATTTTACAGCAGATATTATGTAAATGAAAGAAGCATGACAGAGTTTTCACATCTTTACCGAGCTGTAAAGGATCAGGTACACAAGTCATCTAAAATTTATGTACAAACATTCATGAAATATTCTGTCAAGGTTTGAACTTTATCATGAATATTTTACACACGTTAGGTATCTTTATTACTATTTTAGATTTTCGGCTATCAAAATTCATTTTCTGCATGTAGGGGGTAATGTAATAATATTTATGAATGAGATGTTTCCTCTCTTTAATGACCTGTTCCTCAGACATGAAGTCCATTGCCAATGTCACACAGTTGATGAAGTGGACATTTTCTCTCAACTATTGGTATTTTTTCTCCACATGCCTGTGTCAAATGGTAAATTGTGCTTGGACCTTCTGAAGTTAAGGGGGCGGTGGGGTAGCCTAGTGGTTAAAGCGTTCACTCGTCACGCCTAAGACATGGGTTCGATTCGCCACATTGGCACAATGTGTAAAGCCCATTTCTGGTGTCCCCCGGCGTGATATTGCTGGAATATTGCTAAAAGACGCGTAAAAATAAACTCGCTCTGAAGTTAAGCAAAGTTCTCCAAACGATACCATCTGCATATGTATTTGGGGCATGTTTGGCAGATACAAACTTAAGTTTGACCTTACAAAGATACGGTGTTGACACACAACTTAACGAATCACGAACTCAACTTAAATTGGATTGATCGCATTCGAATTGCATGGTGTAACATATCTAACATTGAGCTTTTTTTAACAAGGCAGAAAAAACAGGCCAAATTACGTTCACCGAGTGTGTGTGTGTGCCTGCGTGCGTGCGTGTGTGTGTGCGCGTGCATGCATGCGGATGTATGTGTATATGGAGCGCGGTCACTCAATACAAATATCCATATATGTGTACAAGTTAGTCTATTCAAGGTGCAGTACGAGCCTACCGGGTGCTTATTGATGTGATGTATGCAATCCCTGTGATACCTGCATTATATACATCACCAATTATCACGAGATGTAAGTGTATATTTTCCATTCAGTTTAGTCAACTCGGGTGATATTGTTAAGTTCAATGAGCAGCAACTGATAATAACCGTGTCTAGATGTCAGTCTATGTCCTCTGTCCATTGTCTAGACTTGGTAATGAACACAAGGTATGCGGTAGTATATACCTAGTATATAGTCCTAGGTCGTCGTGTCATCTGAGACACAAATTGCCTGTCTGTCTCTCAGACACTAGAATGATTTGGGAAGTCAAGATGGCCTCAGCTGTAGGGAAATAAGGATTGTTCGGGACTCCATTTGGATTTATTTTGTAGATACATGTTTTTTATACCGGTACATTTTTAAATAAGATATCTATATTTTTATATAATCTGCAAAATAATACACCCAAAAGTGGTTTTCCAATGATTACTTTATGCATTATATGAACAATCAACAGAGCATAATAAATTGTTCAAATTTGCCAACTTGTCGTTGTCAAACTGAGCGAGGTTCATCATGACACAATGAAACAATCGAATACCAGGGTGAAGGTCATCTCTTGTCAATATGTTGTATGGCTCCTATGACAGTTCAGAATTTCCTGACATCGTCGCCTTATGGAACTCAGGGCTCCAGATTAGTTTTCAACATCAGGAGTACGTACTCCACATTTTTTCAATACAGGAGTACTGGAAAACAATAAGAGTACATTTAGAGTACTGAATGGAATTTAATGGAGTATCAGTAATCTTGTGTTTCGTTTCATATATGCACCACAACATTGCTATGCTTAAGTAAAAAGGTCAAAAAACAATAAAACAATAATGTTTCAGAAAAATACGTCTGTAAATGATTCTAAGACCGTACACCATTGCCGTGGTGCGTATCTTCTACGTTTTCTAAATTATTTCCTACCGCATCGTGCATATTTTTGTATCCGTACATACGCCGATACTGCCCTTATCTGGAGCCCTGCTAGAACCAATCAGATTAGGACGTTTGTCCTTACAGTGCCTGAGCCAACTGACGTGATGGCAGATGTTGATAAAACATCATATAAATGTTCGAATGGGTTTAGATCAGGAAGCCTTGAGGGCATGTCAGTACATGGATGTTGTAGTTCCTCAAAACAGCCGTTGTCAGTCTTGCCGAGTTAGGTCGGGCGTTGTGTTGCTTGTTGTTTGTTACAATGGGAAGGACGTGTGGTGGAAGAATTTCATCTGTGTAACGTCGTACCGTTAAATTGCCCTGGACGTGTACCGAATATGTTCTACCGGTATGGGGGATAACGGGCTACATCATTACACTCTTGCCACCAAACATTTCCACTTCCTTTATGCTGTTTCGATCCTACGACGTCTATAAAAAAGTCTTCTGTCTGAAGGGAGAAGCATAAAACGCGACTCGTCTATAAACCAAACAGGTCTCCATAGCTGCTGTGGCCATACTCTGTGTCATTTACACCATTGACGTCGTAGCCGACGATGCTGATCAGTCAAAATGACGTATCGAACTGGTCGTCTCTGGCGAATGCCTGCGGCGCCTAGACGGGTGATCTCTGTCTCTGCTGAAATCCTACGCAATCCTGGTATTGCCCCAGCTGTAGATATGGTCGTGGCGAGTCTATCACGTAAGTGAAGAACCCGTATATTAATCTGTTCTGCGCTACAATGCGCTGTGACACAATGTCGACCAGATCTGGGTAGTGGTCACGTAGGGGTCCCCTGCGTCTGACAACGGTGCCATGACCCTGTAATGTAGACTCGCACAAGTCTCTAAGGTAAAAATTGATGGTTTAAGTGATAATTTCTAAAACAAATAATAAACAACAGACTGGGGTCCTTGTCCGCTTATCTAGACTTGCCTCTTCGAGGCATATAATTACTATACACCCATGGGCATAGCGTTCAGTATAGCCTTGGAGTAAGGCTACCCTGTAATTGTGCTTGACCATAAGTGGAAAAATAAGTGTGCATGCAGTCGGTCGATGCCGTTGTTACGTTGAGATTCTGTCAGTCATGGCACGTTTTCACTTTTCACCTGACCGCCTCCGTGGTGTAGCGGTTAGAGCGTCCACCCGCAGAGCGGAAGGTCGCGGGTTCGATCCCCGGCCGCGTCATACCAAATGCCAATGGGCTCGGCATTAATGGGCTCGGAGTCAGTATCTCAGTAAGCGGCATGGTATCTCAGTAAGCTAGCACTATAAAAACCAGCTTAAGTCTGGGCTAGTACAAGCAGCTACACGCACACGCATGCACGTCGTCATATGAGCGAAATATTCCAAAGTGCGACGTTAAACTCCAATTTCACCTCACCTCACCTCACTTTTCACCTGTTGTACAATTGTGATGACAGACAACTAAAAACCCATCATCTTCAACCAACAATTTATGTCGCATGTTCATTTCACGTTTGTGTGTTTCGCGTTTTCCTCACTTATTCGGTATTTTTGGCCGGACTTTATTCTGCCCGAGCAAATCACTCCCGACGCATGCGGACTTGAGAAATTCATATTTGGTGTTCATTTTGAGATTTATTTCTTCTTTTGCCTTTGTGTTGTTGTTTTTTTCTTAATTGCAGAGTGTATCTTACTAAATAAGATAACTATATTTCTATATATATAATGTCAGTGTACCGAATATCGGCCTATTACCGTGGGTTCCAAACCATAATGTTGGCACCTAGTTCGGCTACAGTATCGATGAAAATGCTAAGAAACAATTCTAAACACCCGTTCTTAAATTTTTCCACAGTAAATATATGGCGGGGTGTCGCCCAGTAGTAGAAGCCCCCATTGTGCATACGTGCATTCCTTGACTGTCCTCTGGAGCGGTGGGGTAGCCTTGTGGTTAAAGCGTTTGGTCGTCACGCCGAAAACTCGGGTTCGATTCCCCTTATGGGTACAATGCGTTAAGCCCAATACTTTTTCCCCGCCGTGATATTGCTGGAAAATTGCTAAAAGCGGCGTAAAACCATACTCACTCACCCACTCACTCACTCACTCACTCACGACTGTTCTCCGGTGAAGCGACCGTGAAGATCCGGGGTAGAATAGGTCTTCAGCAACCCATGCTTGCCACAAAAGGCGACTATGCTTGTGGTAAGAGGCGACTAACGGGCTCGGGTGGTCAGGCTCGCTGATTTGGTTGACACTTGTCATCGGTTCCCAATTGCGCAGATCGATGCTCATGATGTTGATCACTGGATTGTCTGGTCCAGACTCGATTATTTACAGACCGCCGTCATATAGCTGGAATATTGCTGAGTGCGGCGTAAAACTAAACTCACTCACTCACTCAGGTGAAGCGCCAGCGCAGCATATTCCGGGAACCGGGCTGAGATTTTGTCAGGCAAACTGATCGATGTGGTATAAGGGACGTAACTCTAAATTACAACATGATCAACTGTGGTTCAATTTATGTACGTATCATCTCTCTTGTCGAGTCGTTATCACAGCTCACAGCTAAAGATATTGGCAGGCTGAGTTTTCAGGTATAACCAATATATATACTAATAACATTTAGATGATTTCTATCCACTGTAATTATGTAAAGTCATTGCTCTGGCTCAATGTTGACTATTTGTGGTGAGGTCATTGGTGGGACAGAGTCACCGAAATGGGGTCAGACCAACGGTATACGTGTGTGTGTGTGTGTGTGTGTGAGAGAGAGAGAGAGAGAGAGAGAGAGAGAGAGAGAGAGAGAGAGAGAGAGAGAGAGAGAGAGAGAGAGAGAGAGAGAGAGAGAGAGAGAGAGAGAGAGAGAGAGAGAGAGAGAGAGAGAGAGAGAGAGAGAGAGAGAGAGAGAGAGAGAGAGAGAGAGATGCACATAATTCCACAGAGTCTTCTCAAGGTAAAATGTAATATCCTGGAATAATCTTTAATAAGGGCATTTGTAATGCACTGAAGTCTGCACCACAGAGGGGCACACTCAAAGCGCTAACAATTATTCATACCCCGGATAAACCAATCTGCCAGTGAGGTGCTGCAAGCATGTATTTTCTTCTATGACGTCAAACCATCGTAAAAGAGAGGTCATACACGATATAATGATAAGGGGCATAACTCCGTTATGGCGTAATACTAGGTCAATGTAACTCAGATCACTTTGAGAAAATGTGTTGTGGATAATGGACGCTATGTTTTCGTTATTTTATATTCATGAGGTGAACCTCACTATTCCAATTCAAAGTTCCCCAATGTGAACGGATGCGCTTTGGTAGTTTCCACAATTTATAAGAAAAGATGACAGCGATATTACATGTGAAAAGCACGAAAAAGCGATTTGAATGGCCTTATCAATATATAAGTTAGTTCTTAGATTCCCATATTCTCCTGTTTGTGTAGATGTAATTTGACTAATTTTGCATCGTTATTACCAGAGTACTAGCCATATCTTCAAAATGTAACGAAATTGCTGAAAATAATACAACATTTTAGTTGGCGTCATGCGCTTTATTTTATGCATTTTTCGCGGCGTTGGAAAAGCAGCTGACATTGATATGCTGATTAGAATATATCTCACTTAATTTCCATTCATTGTATAAAGGTCTAGACTTCTATGTCAGAATTAACATTCTTTAGACAAAACATAAAATGACTGATTTTTCATTTTAAATAGTGTCCTGAATATATCAACAATTAGACAGTTTGACAGCGTATCTTATTGTGACCAAACGCAGCACCTGTTTGGCATCAATTTAGCGTAAATAAAAAATAATATTTCCACAACACCGAATATTTTGTCTGGGATAAAATTTTGTTTGTTTATGATTATGAAGCTATTTCTCTTCATACATTATGCAATGAAAGATGCATAAAGATAGCTTTTATATATGGAACTATATATTAGAATATGGATATAAGATTTTGTCGAATTAACACATGAGATGGTATTTTTGGTTATTTTTCAACAATTTTTCCTATAAGTAGTTAGAGTTTGATATCCTGTCATCACAATATTATTTAATCGAATATGAATTGAATATATTATCGAAAACAATGATAGAGAATCATAAAACGTTGCCAACAAGCTGGCACCTTGCTGATCTATATGCATCATTCTTTTTGTCTATAAAAGCGACACAAAATTATGCAGTGAACAAGACAATTCCTTTTAATATGTGTGCATATACATTTCATACCATATATAAATCATTGTCATTAATATTATCAGTTTAGCATATAAGGTTGAATTATATCACCCGTTCATTAACCTGTTCATATGAAATTGCAATATTAGTCCAAATAAATTGAATATTGTACATCATAGGAACTAAAGTAATTGCAGTTATGGCTACGTTTGATCTTCTAACACTTGTGTAAAGGTTTAAAATGGTGTATTGCAATAAATATGTCAATTTCTTATGTAAATATGATTCAAACAATCAAAAACTTTCAAAGAATAAAACACCGTAAACCCTAAATGCATGTATGATATGATATTGAACAAGGCTAAATGTAGATACTGAAGTCAGTTTCATGAAAAGTATCGAACTATCCGCAAAAATATACATCATAATACTGGCAGTGTAATCGGAAGGATATGGCGATTATGTTTACTCTTGTTCAACCGACCTTCACCTCAAAGAAATTGCCTAATATGTACAACAATGTTGACGTATGACATCACTACCGCTAACCGATTTCTTACAAAATGGTAGCACTTTGCTGACAAAGGGTACACAAGGATTTTCTTGAGGGACCCTTCCACTGATTCAGGGATCGTTTGTACATAAATATGAGAGATGTAAGTAATCAGAATGATTCTGACTATCTGTGTATTGTTATATGTTTTTATCGTTTTTTCACTATCGAAGAGAAAAGGACAGAAATGCAGATAATTACCGTTGTCGATTCTCGCGTGATTTGAAACGTCCAGTCATGGCGTCCAGCTGCACTGCCACGGAAACTTTGACAATTTCTTATGAATTATCAAATCATTGCATTGTATCTATTTATAATTTCCTATTTCTTGCTCACGATACTCTTTCCATGTATATTCTAAAGAGGGTATTGAGCCATTGTGCAAGCAATGAATAGGCGGATGAATGTTGAAAAATTTCAGAAAATGCTGCGCAGTGTAAAATCCGAATTTGTCATTGTTTACATTTCACACAAGCGCAGTCTTTCAAGCACAGCGTTAAGTTTTTCACACCCAATATGTTTCGATCTCACTTTATCTAGACAGTTATTATTGGTGACACAGACCAGTTTCAAATTGATTCTAAAATGTATGGGGAATTCAGTGATGCATTTTTTGAAGCTGAATATGAAATATCATCATTGATGTAATAGAAGTCTCAATACCGGCCTTAAGCAAAGCGTGATTTTGTAAACACTATCAATATGGCCGAAAGCTCTCACGGTGTTAGAGTGTAAGTGCATTTTGAAAACAACCCAACCGATTCTAGATTCATCGGCAGCGTTTCAGAATTATAATTAGAAATCATGTAAAACTGATATCAGTGATCATAAATATCTTATTTTTGATTTAATAGTCATGTGACCGGGTACCAAGACCACACGCCACAACCAATAAAATATGTCAGTGAATTGTTTATATATATGGAAGTTTAATGGTATTTCACCATTTAAAAGTATAATTGCCCCAAGTTTAACGCATGCTTCGGAAATGTGGCGATTTGAAAATGCAAATCTTATTTAAAACATGCATGAAAATATATATCAAAATGTCAACATTTTTCAAACTTCATTATCATTTTATCTCGCTACCCACTAAAATAGAAAAATCCATAAACCCATCCCAAAAATACTGCTACATTATGAGCATGTGTTTTTCACTCAAGATATATCTATTAGAGCTTTGGTTAGAGGCTGGACCTTTATTTGGTCTCGGTGACTAACGGCTGTATCACATTTCATTTATTTTGGGGGCAGTGGGGTAGCCAAGTGGTTAAAGCGTTGGCTCGTCATGCCGAAGACCAGGGTTCTAATCCCCACATGGGTACAATGTGTGAAGCACATTTCTGGTGTCCCCCGCCTTGATGTTGCTGGAATATTGCTAAATGCGGCGTAAAACCATACTCAGTTCATTTATTTTGAAAGATTCAACGACATAAGAATTCATGTTTGAAAAAAGCTGATTATATTTTTGTTTGTTTTTGTCAGTTTGATGTCCAGAACTTTAAGCACAATGGTTACAATATGCAAGAACCTGTCCAGCACCATCACCCTAAATGACGGGAAGTCCATGCCTATGTTTGGTCTGGGGATGTACCTCAGCAAATCGGGCTCTGGTGGCAGTGCTGAGAAGGCTGTCACTCATGCACTGAAAAATGGGTACAAGTTGATTGACACTGCTGAATTTTATGGGTAAGATCTACACCGAAAACTTTGTGACAGTTATCTGTCAATATCTATAAATGTTTATCAATGTCTGTCTGTCTGTCTGTGTCTGGATGGATAGATGTTTATTGAATTTAGACTTTGTTTTAATTTTTTTAAATCCATTCAAAATAACATGATGGTAGTTATCCTAATTTGACTAATACCTACAGTAAAGTCTTTTCTGGTCATATTCACCTAACAGCAAATTATGTCAAATTACCATGTCAGAATCAGTTGCATGTACAAGGGAGGATATAATCCTAGATCATTCTTTCATAGTTTCATGGGGGTGGTGAGGTAGCCAGGTGTTTAAAGCGTTTGCCCATCACGCCAAAGGCCTGGGTTCACTTCCCCACATGGGTGCAAAGTATGAAACCCATTTCATGTGTCCCCTGCCGTGATATTGCTGGAATATTTCTAAAAGCAAAACGTCAAAGCTTCAAATAGAAGGAATCAGGTAATATGGCAATCTTTTGTTGTGGACATTGCAAACTCATTATTCAGAAAATATTTTTAGTTTTTCATGATTTTGTTCACTAAATGTATTTGTAACAGAGGTTGCCGTTTCACCAGGATGAACTTATTTACGTTGTTTTTTTAACATATTTGAGGGACATCTTATATCTTAGGAATGAAAGTGATGTTGGCCGAGGCATCAAGGCATCTGGACTTAAAAGAGAAGATTATTTTGTTGTCACAAAAGTCTGGACCAATGGAGCAGATGTGTGTCGTTCTGCATTCACAACAAGTCTTGAGAAGTAAGTTTGGGAAGCTGATGATCTTTTGTACTCGCAAGAACTGCCTTGTATCAGGATTATTGTATGATACAATATATCATCATGTAATGATATCTTATTTTATCATATATTTCTCAATCGTTATTTGAGAATAATTCACAACAAGGGACCCTTCATCCAGACCATCTGCCCGGAGAGCGGAAGGTCGCGGGTTCAATCCCCGACCGCGTCTTACCAAAAGACGTTAAAATATGGTACTTGTTGGTCCCTGCCTGGCGCTCGGCATTAATGGGTACAACAAGGACTGGTCGGCTCGGAGTCAGTATAATGTGTCTGAGTGGGGTATTCATGCTTCACTGCGGCATGGTATCTCAGTGGGCTAGCACAATAAAACCAGCTTCAGTCTGGGCTAGTACAAGCAGCCGCACTTACACATACACATGCACGTCGCATATGAGCGAAATATTCTCAAGCACGGCGTTAAACCCACTTTCACCTCACCTCACCTCACCTCATCCAGACCAGTTCATTATGTTATTATTCACTAAAGTGATGTCGGAAATAGAAAAAACCTGATTTGTCGCAGTTATATCTACCATTTATGTAGTTAATATGTCAAAGTCTGAAATATCTGTCAAACTAAGTTCAGCTTAACTACAGTCTGGGTGGTAAGGAGATAGGAAACGTAGAAAAAGGACTTTACTGAGGAGAGATTAGTGCAGAAATGAGGAATGCGGTTTTTTTCGAAGTCCAAAGCGACTTATTTGGAACAGACCATGACTTTATGCAAATTATTGAGCGATGATATTGAATTACAAAAGACACTTTTTAAATGCCCATTTCAAAATTAAACTTAGCTTCATTATATACGATAGCTGACGTAAACAATGATAACTTTAATACTGAAACTATTAAGGATGTAGCTACCATGGAGTCCATCACTATAAAAAGAAACAGGTAGGAGGGGTCGTCTCAAACGGTGTGTGAGGACGGGTGTCACAGACGGTGGTTGGGATCAGGCTGGAGGATAGAGATATCAGCTGAGATAAGATAATCCTTTAGGGGAAATAAACTGGGGAAGCAAATGGCATGTCAAAACAATTTACAAACAACATCCAGTCCTATCAGGTGGTCATGCCACCAATATATTTTTAGACATTTAATACGATGGCTGATTTAAGCTTTTCTATAGGTATCCTACTCTTTTACATATCTCAACATAAACTTTATGAAAGAAAGACACATAAGACATTAATCAATAGATGAGACATATTCAACACACATGAGAAAGCATAAAATATCTTAGAGATGACCCCTTGTGCCTGTTGGCAGCACATGCATTTCATGCCAGGTGAGTCGATGGCCCGTCGTCATACCTGGCTGAGCGACCTAATTGCCATCTGTAGTCTGATCTATTGTTTTCAGCAGCTATTGGTATTTTTTCTAAGTTTTGCCCGATTTTACGAGTAAACATGTTTTTCTGGATGTCCTATTACGCATTGCACTGAACGCCCAGTTAGGTCGATGTTGGTTAATTCAACATATGGTATTTGCAATTGTGTAAATTTTATGGAAACGGAGTAACAGCCTAAAAGCATTTTTTTTCTATTTCCGACAGTAATTTAGTTAAAACACAAAAAACAGGACAGTCATTGATGTCTGTTGTAAATGAAAAAAGGAGTCCATTTTGTTCAGCATGTTTATGTGAAAATCGTTCGTATGTTTTACTTTGATCATTATTTGTTTTTCCCATGTTTGTGCAGATTGGATATTGGTTATGTTGATCTATACCTTATCCACTCTCCTGGGCAGGGGAAGATAGTGGAAACCTATAAAACCATGATGGATTTTCAGAAACAGGGACTTGTCAAGTGAGTCACCCTACTGTTACTATTCGTTCATTTGTTCATTTGTTCGTTTCGTTTCAGTTTGTTCGTTCGTTCTTTCAAATGCCATCCCGAACATTATTCCAGTCAATCAGTTACAACTAAGGTAATCTGTTAGCCATCCATAGGTCTACAGTGATCTCTTAATCCCTGGTGATTTAAGAGAGTAGCTTCCCTTTAAGCTTAGGGTGGTCAGGCTCTATGATTTGATATATTGCGTGTCAAAGAGTCCCAAAGGAGGGAATGTTTCGCTTTCTACCTAATCACCGCTTCGCCTGATTGAGACTTGATATTAACTGACTGCTATGATGTCAAATATTGCCAATTGAAACACTGTATTATACTATTCACACTTTGCTAAGGATCAAATCATGGATTCAACAGACAACTATGATGTGGGGTCAAATTTGGTTTAAATATCTAAACTTATAGTAAGCATGGATCCGAGGTTTCAGTATGTCACTGCATCTTGTGGATCCCATACATGCTACTGACAGGTGTTGTGTACTTGTCAATGACTCGTTCCATGATTTGCAAAATGGTTGATTGGTGCCATGAAAACCATTTTTATGGTTTTTCTTGTATCAAGTGCATAAGGTTAGATTACAGTGACTCTTTGCCAAAAGAAAGGGTTACCATATTATTATTTATCCAGTTTCAAAATATGAATCTACGTTTAAGTAAAGTTGTGAATTTTTGTGATCCTTAGCAAAGTGTGAGTAGTATATATTCACTCATTCACATCAACTATCAGATCGATTGGTGTGTCCAACTTTGGAGTGCATCACCTCGAAGGAATGAAAGCTGCAGGTTTGCCAACGCCGACAGTCAACCAGATCGAGCTTCACCCATGGATGAAGAAGAAGGACATTGTCCAGTACTGTCAGGCCAACAATATTACTGTCATGGGTTACTCGCCCTTGGTGAAAGGTCAACGATTTAATGAGCCATGTTTGGTGGAAGTTGCTAAGAGGTATGGAGTGTTTATATTATTTTCCAATATTGTTTAAGTTGATGTGATACATGTATTTTCCCTGTATTTCAGGTGAAATGACGTGTATGATCACCAATGTGATCCATTGGTGTTCATTTTCTATCTCTGCCCAAACAACACAACTAGTTCTGATAATGACACTAATGATACACTTGGTCGAGATACAGTATATGAAGACTCAACTGCAAGGAGAGTTGGTCCATGTAAATATAAGCCCGAAGAAACATGGCTCCTGACAGAAAGCTTACTTGAGAATGCTTGTACATACTGGCAGTAAATAGCATTTCACAATACATTTTCATAAATTTTCATGTTTGGTTGGTTTGTTTGTTGTTAAACACCGCACTCAGCAATATTCCAGCTATAAGGTGGTGGACTGAAAATAATCGAGTCTGGACCAAACAATCCAGTGATCAACAGCATTCGCATCAGTTTACGCAGTTGGGATACAATGACATGTGTCAACCAAGTCAGCAAGTCGGACCGCCCAATCCCATTGGTTGCCTCATACGACAAGCATGGGTTACTGAAGATCAAACCTAACCCGGATCTTCGACAAGCATGGGTTACTGAAGATCCTACCTAACCCGGATCTTCGACAAGCATGGGTTACTGAAGATCCTACCTAACCCGGATCTTCACAGGTCTCTAGTTCAGTGTAACACATATGAAGTCACATATTGCATATTAAGTCATGTATCAATATAAAGCAATACACACATATTAGTGTGTTACACTGTTTCAAGTTCAGTGTAATACACTGATATGTTTGTATTACTTTATATTGATACATGACTTAATAGTACAAGTGACATAGTGTGGTGATGCCCTAAATGACACCCTGAGTCCTGATAGGGTTAAACACCACTTACTATGTATTACTATGCATTACTATGTATTACTATGCATTACTATGTGTTACTAAGTATTTCCATATCCTATAGCTATTTATGTAAGTCACATCCTGTATATATTGTTGAAATACAATGTAACACACTCATTATAAATGTAGACATCAAAACTACTTGTGAAATAGATGACTGTTGAAACAGCTGACAATTATCTCTACTTTAGGCATCACATGCTGTGAAACAGTAGTTCTCACTATCTAGAATGACTGTGTGTTCCCTGACCAATTTGGCATCAGAAGAGTTTAGGCAATAGAGGCAATAGAGAAAGTCCAATCATCTTATTTTAAACGCTTTTTACAGGTTGGGAAGTTTGCTTCAAATAAGGCCATTTTAGGCGATACTGGGCGTTATCCTCTTTTCATTCTCAGCCAAGTTAGAGTGGTTAAATATTGGTGTAAATTACTAAAGATGAAACGACAACGATATCCTTAACACTGCTATAATTTATTAAAAACTCTTGATGATAATGGTAAGACCAGTTGTAACTGAGTTTCAAATGTTAGATCTTTGCTGTTTACTTGTGGGTATTCTTTTGTTTGGATTGAGCAAGACTTTGGTGATGAAGAGTTATTTCTATTTTCATTAAAACAAAGATTACAAGATATGTATTATCACACCTGGCACAATAGTATTTCATCTTCATCCTTTTTATGTCATTATAATTCGATTAAGTCAGCTATGGAACCAGAGAAATATTTGACATCATTAGAAAATAAGGATTTGATAAGAGCCATGTGTAAATTTAGACTTCCCCTACACAATTTTAATGTCAATTTTTCCAGAAGGTATAAACAAGACGATATTGATCAAATTAAATGTGCAAACTGTAAGTTGGGTTTTATTGAAGATGAATTCCATGTATTATTAGTCTGTGATAAATATAAAGATCTGAGAGAGAAATATCTTCCACATATTGAACATGTCCATAAAAACAATATGTTAATGGTAAATTTATTAAACTCTCAAAATCCTCTTGTTAAACATGCAGTTGCAACATTGTTAAAACATATATTTATTGCTAGATAACTATTTCAATTTGTGCTCACGTGACATTATAAATACATTATATATTAACTGTAAAATGGGCCATAGGCCGTATATTACCGAATAAAGTGTCTGTCTGTCTAATACACACATATTAGTGTGGATGAGAGCAATTCACATGCAGATGGTTCCCAAAGTGACATGGAAGTTCAGAATGTATGACGGTAAACAAGTGGCGTTCCATGTTTTTGAATCATAAAAGACTATATATCGGTGATGTTTCAGGTTGGGCAGGACAACGGCCGAAGTTCTAATCCGGTACAGTGTTCAGATGGGTTATATCACTATCCCTAAGTCTGAGAAACCTGAGAGAATATCGGGAAATACCTCGGTCTTTGAGTGGGAGATTCCACAGTCGGACATGGATGTCTTGGTAAATATCTGCACAATATACTCAAGTTCTGGACCCTGTCTAAAGTATGGGAGCAAACATGACCACTTTTGGAGACTGACCAAGGTCCAAGGCTTGGACCACGACAAAAATGGAAATATCATGGATGATTAGTGTCAAGAATAGTTAATTTAAAAAATTGATTAATAATCGTTATAAGTATCACAGACAAAATTCGAATTATCTGTGGTAATATACAGTAATGTATTTGTCAGCCATTGTGCTACTTCCCACAAGTCAGAACTATAGGCTTCGATTATGTTGGAGATATATCATTCAGAATAATGGTGGATAGATATTATTTGACAGGTCTTTACTGACAAGTGAAAAGAAACAAAGGACAGAATATACCTAGGAACTCAAGTTAGTCTATTTTTGAATGAGTTGAGATTTATAGTCACATCGGCAGTATTTCAGCCTTTTTGTGACCATTTTCTGGAGATCACACTCCTGGTTTACATGACTGATTTTTCAAAGTGAAATCATTTTCTTAGTTGACACAAGGGGCGGTGGGTAGCCTAATGGTTAAAGCGTTGGCTCGTCACGCCGAAGACCCGGGTTTCGAATCCCCACATGGGCACAATGTGTGAAGCCCATTTCTGGTGTCCCCCGCCGTGATGTTGCTGGAATATTGCTAAAAGCAGTGTAAAACCAAACTCAGTCAGTCAGTAGTTGACACAAATGAAAATACCTCTGTGATATCAAGTATTGCACTATTATGCAGGTTTTTTCTTTGTAAGACTGAGAACTTATAAATCAACAGATCTTCTTCATACATGACCATTGGCTAGTGATGAGTTTTTATCTACTGCAATCATTGTCATACAAAATTGTATGTATTCATTGTATGTTTCATTGATGAAACTTATTTGTGGTTTACATTACTGTACATTACAATATCATTAACATTATCAGTGTTTTATTTCAGTTTTCTTTGATGCAGTGGTATACTTATATTTACAAGACAAAATAACATACTAAGAAAGTGCCCTTGGATTTGTATGATAGGTATAGGATATTCTATCTGAGAGACAGATAATTCTTCATTTATTCAGATTATGAATTTACCACAATGTATTTATCATTCACTGATCATAAATAAGATATTGTCATGGTAACTGGCCATGAAGTCCTTACGAACCATTAGCTCACTTTCATACCCAATCCACCATTTAATTTCAATTTGTTTGCTTTAGTCTGAACAAGTTATATTTATAGATGAAACATAATGTGTTAGTCATTTCTTTCCAAATATGAATTGACAGAGTCATCACCTATACCCTGTACTGAAGATTCTGTGATCTAATTTACAGAATTCATTTCCTGAGAGTTCCTGCACATGGAATCCGTGTCTGTTTCCATGGAATGGATGATTGAAGCAAAGATGCAAACAGTTTTGGGGGATATTGTAAGCCTGTCCCTCTTGAACTACCTACAGAGTAATACCTACCAGAAGTCACTGCAACAGTTCTCCTTCAGAAGATCCTATAAACAGCTTCCTATGCCATATATACAAGGGTTTTAATTCTCTACACGTTTTCTTCTTTTGCTTAATTCTTATACTCCTGTTATGGTCAGTGTTTTTCCTGATGCGAGTCAGCCAACTTACTCCAGTTTTGATGCTCTTATTAATATTGATTTTTTATATTTCTCTGACTGTGTTATTGTTATGAGACTTTTTATATCTCTTGTGAGGAACTTGTCTTAGTATTAGAGGATCAGAAACTGTGACTGCAAAGTCTTGTGTGATAAATGGAGAGAAAAAATTGAACATTTTAAGAGATGTTTTATTGTACTTGAATGTAAATCTCATCCCTATCAGGTAACTGTACCTCACACCTCTAATATGCTGACTATAACAGAGATCAGTTTGTCAATCTCAGTCCTTGTTACAGAATAATCTTAGCCCTATATTTGTTGGAGTAAGTGAGTATGGTTTTATGGCGCTTTTAGAAATATTCCAGCAATATCACAACGGGGGACACCAGAAAATGGGCTTCACACATTGTACCCATGTTTGGAATTGAACCCTGGTCTTCGACGTGGCAAGCCAATGGTCTTTAACCACTGGGCTACCTCGCCGTTGCTATATATTGGTTGGAAGTACTGGAGTTTTGGTCACTTCAGAACTGAGAGGTGGGATGGCCTAATGTGTGTAATACCTCCAGTGATTGTTTAAGGGACATATCCTTTTCCAGTATATCACAGATGACTAGCTAACTTCTCCTCCAGATGTTGCAATATGCCCCTGTTTATCTTTAACAATCACTGGAGGTATTACACACATTAGGCCATGGTGCGAGGGCCCCTTACAACACAATCTCAGTTCTAAAGTGACCAAAACTCCAGTAATCATAGTTGTTCACTGATAACATTTATATGAGAAATATAATTAAACTACAGTGGAAACCTGATAAGTAAACTTTCAAGGGACTCGCCAAAATTGTTTACTTATCAGGTATTTTACTTATCCAAACTTATAAAACCTGCAACTTTTGGAATGATGTTACCAACTTATCAGGGTAACCAATTCAGTGTATTGTCAACTGCTTGAAGCCAGCAAGCTGTAAGTAGGATGTTTGTTTGATTCCTGCATGCTTGACACCCTGATTTAAGATACTGTTTTCTAACCGTGAGAGAAGTTTAGTTTAAAAGCGGTATTGTTTACTTATCGAGTTTAGTTAACCAGACTCTAATAGTGATAAACTATCATATGATCAGTTATATATTTACTCTGTTTGGAATATTAATATTTCCTATGCTTGACACCTGATTTAAGATCTTCTAAGCAAAAGAGTCATCATATGATGGCGTCACCCTTGAGGGGTCACAAATGCATTCAGTTGTTGCATAATTCAGTAGGTTTTTGTTTGTTTGTTGTTTAACGCCGCACTCAACAATTTTCCAGCTATATGGCGAACTAATTCTTTACCGGATCTTCAGTAGAAAATCAGTAGAAATAGTTGAGATCCCTGTTATTGATGTACATTGGTGCTGTCATGACACAACCAAACACAGGTTTACAAGCATTTGCATGTCATGCCTCTGTCCATGAAACGGATCTTATTGGCTTAACCTAGTCATTGTGCACCAGGATCTTTCAGTCTTAATTTATTAGACCATTTTTATGTCATCAAAACATGATCCTTAGCACACTATCCTTCCCTCAAGGATATGAGGTGAGGTGAAATTGGGTTTAACATCGTGCGTGAGAGTATTTCACTCATATGACGACGTGCGTGCGTGTGTATGTGTATGTGAGGCTGCTTGTACTAGCCCAGACTGGAGCTGGTTTTATAGTGTAAGCCCACTGAGATACCATGCCGCAGTGAAGCATGAATACCCCACTCAGACACATTAATGCCAAGCGCCAGGCAGGGACCAACAAGTACCATATTTTAACATCTTTTGGTATGACACGGTCTGGGATCAAACCCGCGACCTTCGGCTCTGTAGGAGCTTAACCCACTAACATGCTCAAGGATATGAACATCTGAATGACCAATTTTGAGCCAACTGGACTATTTGCCTGTTTGTCATGCATCATCAGAACCTCATAAATCACTGTGCCAATGGTGTGTTATTTGTAGTTAAACATGCCAAAAGTAGCCCATACTAAATATTTTTGGGTCATGATTGTGATGCTGAACACCCACAATCAGCAGATCAGTAAACTGACACTTTTTCAATTTTTCCAGATATGTATAGAAAATATATCCTCTCACAAATACTGCAAACTCGTGCTTATTTCTTGAAAGATTTTATTAGCATTATATGAAGTCCTCCCCATTAATCCAGTGACATTTGATAAAACAACACAATGCGTCACAAGACACAAACAATAACTGATAGGAGACATGGGTCGGGAGCAGCTCATTGTCTGCAGGTTAGCTGAGGCACCATGTTCCTGCCACTGACGATGACAACCAGTCTCATGGGATCTTCACATTTGATCCATGTTGATCAGGCACAAATTGACATCACAAGGCATACACCAAGACCTGTGTAACATGTCTTACTTTATAAATGGAAACTGAATTTATAAATGATGATGTACATTAACACCTGCATACACAATGAGTCTAATAATAACTAGTCCATAGCATATTTTGTACTTGCAGTGTATTCAACTGATTAGGGAGCAATTAGATACATATATATGTGTAATCCTTACAGACGTTTACTTCAATCAGGACAAGTGGCTGCTGAGCAGTTGCTTCAGTGTTTAGTTTCTGGTATATTGTGGGCAAAACTTTGCATTGTGATTTAATATTGTTTTCTCAGGTGATGTGGTTGAGGAATATCTGTGTGGCTGATGTGAGTGCATAACAGCAGGATTCAAGTCCTTCCTGAACAAAGTGTTCTAAAAAAAAAAATGCAACTGAGTGTATCAATTTTGATTCAAAATGGCAAGATATATATATATATGTGCATAAGTTATGGAAAAAGCAAGAAGGATTTTTCTGATGTGTGAAATATTGGCAAATGTATTTATCTTGACCGAATTATAATGTATACACATACAGGTATACAGACTTCCCATCTTACGACTAGTATGTAACCATCTCAACAGTTATTTTCCCAAGTCACACAGTATCAAATAATGCCAGTTCTTAAACTCAGGTAGTCCAAAAACACCTGTATCACCAAAAAGTTAAAGCCATAATTGGAAAGAAACCACTAATTGCACACTACAGGTAATAACAAAATATATATACCAACGACCAAGATCGATAATGAAATAGAATTCACAGAAGTGGAAGGTTTGGGGTTGTATAAGTCTTGCTTAGTGAAAGAGACAATACGATAAGCAGCTTAGACATTGATTGGGAGTTTATTCAGAAAACAAATCATTCTGAAAATATTCAAACTTTATCTTTAGTGCTGATGAGGAAACAAAGTACATCAAACCAAAGCAACCGTGGATATTTGATACCTGTTTTCTTGCTCAATAAATACCTCGCTCTTTGAATATATACAAATGAGTTGCTGGAAAATCAGTGTTTTCATCACTATATCCTAGCAAAGAACAACCTGGGAGAGTACACAGACAGAGATTGTTACCTTAAAGGCTCCAGCATCCATCTAGTGTCTCAACAAGGAAATTATGTGTTCATTATGTCCAAGATGGGGTCAATGAATTCAGTACTCAAACTACACTTGTATGGAGTGAAGTGAAACAAAAGAATATTGACAGAGACAGGAAAGATAGAATCACACATTTGAGTAGTTTCACAGAAACACACATTAGCAATCAGACAGTTGGTGTCACGGATCACATATTGGGGTAAGGATCACACAGTTAAGTGGCTTCAGGCTACAGTATGTACACCGGACTATTATGACCAAACCTTTTTAAGTATTCTGATTTGAGACCAGATGCCTTCAACAGTAACGTTCTCTGAATGTTTTACATGTGATGGCATATTTAAGTATATATATATTTAAACAGACATTATCTACATTAGTTTCTCAGACATATCATTTGATATTGACAGTACCTACATCGACTGTACTACTACTTTGGCCTTTCAACAATTGCTTGCATTGCCCCATTTAAATGTTATATGTACAAAACAAATGTTCAACAGTAATAGGTAGTTTATGACTGATTATGATAGGTAACTTGGCATTAAACAAAGCATGTGTAGGACTACATCACTTCACACCATAGTATGAAATCCTCCATTGTCCAGTGTTATACTGCCATTCTATTAGAAATACTGACATATTTTCTCACCAAAAGCTTCGTTTCAAAAGTGATGTCACAACTGCATTCATTGTTACAGACATGGTACAGAATTTCTCTCACTCATGAGATTGCAATCAACCATCTTTTGAAATGAATATCTAAACAGAAGTTCATGAATAGAACCTCATACAATTGAGCCCTGTGCACTTGTAATTGCATAAGATGAGTATGAGACAAAGTTCTTAGTACTAAGATAGGGTGAAGTCCCAGACTATCTAGCATCCCTAGTTTACTTGGAGGTGATGTACAACAGTGTTAGTAAATGCTTGTTTCAATAATGAAAGAGTCAGTGAGTGAGAGTTTAGTCTTACGCTGATTTTAGCAATATTCAAGCTATATCACAGCTAGGGAACACCAGAAATGGGTTTCGCATGACGAGCGAACGCTTTAACCACTAGGCTACCCTTCTGCCCCCAATAATGAAATAACAGTAGAACTGAACTAAAGAACAATAGCATTGTCGTATATATTTATGGAAATAAAATTGACACATCATGAACTGGACAACCGAGGATGTGCATAAATACACAGATAACATAATTACAAGAATACAATGCCATGTTGATGTTGCATTGAGCTGACACAAGGTATAACACCCACCAATATAACCTGGAGTCTCAATATGACGATAGACATTAATCTGTTCTTACTCAGCAATGACGTTCAAGAACACTGCATGATTTCTTCAGAAAGGATAAATGTGCTGCTGCAAACAAAGAAATGTTTCGTTCCTTGAAGCAGACATGCCTGATGTTTTGCTAATAAGAATAAAAGCAAGTTCAGTGCAAAAATCCATTACTGAAGCATCACTTTCTTTATAATCACCAATGAAATCGAAGGAAACAATGGCAAACTATCTCAATCTCATTGTATTTCTTGAACATACATAACTGATTACAAAAACATGTTTCAACTGCAATAGAACTGCTAACAAAGCAGCGACATTGTCTGACCTGAATAACAAACAGCGTAACAATATGATCCCATGTTCATTGTTCATGCAACAAAAGGTAAAACAATATACACTACTAATCCATATCATCACAACAAAAGGATCCCTTACAACGTCAGGTGAAAATCATTTTATAAAACAGGAAGAGCCATTTGAAGAACTCAGAATATATCCTTAAATAACAGACAATACAAGTCTGCTGGATTTCGGCAATTGTTTCCTCTTGATGCGCACTTATTCGTTTTATACTTTAATTTGACTTCGAAAAACGCATAAGATTTATGATGAAATAACAACATTGACGTAACCATGAACTGGGGTAATCAAACATCATGATTGACAGATTGAATTTCAAAACAATATAATAAATACCATATTTATTTCGCATACATTTCTAACGCTAATGGGACTGTGAAGTGTCAACCAGCTCTGAGAGAAGGGAACTAACCTTTGTGTAAAAAAAAGCAACTACAGCTGCTAACAATTTCTGGTTGGGTGTAACTTCTGTATTCTATCTGAACTGTAAAGTCAACTCCAGATAAGACAAACTTCAATAGTTGGGACAATTACTTGAATAAAACACAGTTTGTCAATGTGAAGGGTGACTTAGATAAACATGGGTACGTTTTTACACTATCTTCAATATTCCAGGCATGAGAAGAATTGGCTTCAACAAAGTTTCCATGTGGGGATTCAAACCTGGGTTTTCAGACTAGCAAACACTTTACCCTTCACAGTACCCTGCCACCCTTTACTGCACTTTACTGAGGTCCCTTCAAGTTCGTTACATCTGGAGTTGAAACAGCAGGATCTGGTTGTTTCGGATAGAATTACATCAACATGATAAACAGAAACACAGTGAACACTGTACAGAGGGACACATAAATCATTAAATATGAATCCCCAATTCGTACATACACATTCAGAAGAATATATACACCCAAACAGGTTCACTCCACTTTCATACAGACATATAAAATCAGCTTTTCATTTTGAATGAGATTTTTATGATCTATAGCTCATCTTTGAGTATAGTATATCTGTTGCTTGAGGGGGCAAGCTTTCTAAATGTTGATTCCGGAGGCGATGTTGGTTTTTTAAGAGGTGGTACTCCACCACTAACTGTATCCTTTGGTACATGTTTTGCATCTCCAGGCTGCTCCTGCAAACAAATCACACAAAAATTAGCCCAGGCAGCCATCGTATTGTGTAAATCGACAAAAAAGGGTAAAAATATGTAGTACCGGTATTTGTCATATAAATGACAAATGACAGATTCCTATAGCACAAGTATCTTTGTAGGATCATCTTCCATTGTTAAAGATGGCAAAGTGTAAGCTTCCCGTGTAAGCTTGCAGGGGAGACAACTCCTACATATACTCACATTAACAATCTGGGCTGGTGTAGCCTCTGTGGGGTCAGGCCCATGGTGAAACTCTCGGTGAAGTTTCCCAGAATGAAGATCTTCAATGAACTTTTTAAGAAGGCCTGGCTTACTATAAAACAAAACGTCACTTCAAGAATTAGTAAAATAACACAACCATCAGGGCAGATGATGGCATGATGCTGACAGGCAGCAGGCTAAGAGCTTGAGCCTCCCAATATCCATATTTTTTCCAATTTTATATTCAGTTTATACTAAAGAAAAGAAACACTGGCCCTGTTCTTGCCATGATACTTAGCACTGGAGCAAAAGACATGCTGTATTACATCACATGTAATGCCTTTATCTGCCTTTTCATTATCAACAAAGAAACACGACAATACCATTGAACAGTTCATTCAACAACAAAGTCACCTGTCTTTCATGAAAGAACGTTTTGAATTTTACATCAATTACAATTCAAATATAGGTAAGTATGTGTTTGAGATGCTGTACAGTGACTGATGTTAAATGACATAATTAGCAATATTCCATCTATAAGATGGCAGCCTGAAAAATAGTCATGTATGGACTGGACATTTCACTGATTGAAAGATCCCTTGCAAGATCTGATGTCATCAGGGTAAAAAGGCACATCAAGCCTCACCATCTGAACTGAACTATTAAGATGCCAAGTAAAGGAAACTGAGAGCCTATTCTATCCTGTAATCTCTGCTGAGGTGAAATAGAGTGAAATATTTGAGTCATACAAGGGATGAAGAATCTGAAATCTGTACATACTCTAAATCCTTAGTTACATCATGGGGGAAGATGTACATGTGCCTGAAACTGTCAATGGCGAGGACCGGCAGGTCACTCAGAGTCTTGCCAATATGGTGGAGAGGGTGGGTGAATTTACTCCCATCAGCCGTCAGGAAATTAACATTTGCTGAAAAACAAATCAATGTCATGTGATTGCCAAACACAAGCACAGAAACAAACATATGAAGTTATAAGAAATTAGAAAACATCATAAACACCAGTGTATGAAATAAGGACCCTTCGACCGCCCAAGACTGGCTAGATTTCTGCCGGACGGTCTAATTTTACAGCTAGCCAGCCCAATGAACGGGTGAAAAAATATATTCAGATAACGTGTCCACTGGCACTGTCTACTTAGTATTTAAGAAGGACTGGTTAAATATCTTCTGGGCTGGTAAGTTTTTGAAGTTACCAGTCCAGATATCTAGCTGAGTTTTTGGCTTATTTCATACACTGCAAACACCGAATATTTTTTACCACATTTACATGACATCATATGATTACTATCACTTGTGGCCATTTAAACCTCTGGACAACAGAAAATTTTAGAATATTATTTGAACTGTTATTTGAAACCAGATAAGTAACCATGTAGATAATAACCTTTCTCATGCAACAGCTGTGTAGAAACTTCATGAGTAAACTTTTCCACCACACCATGGTCATCAGGGTTATGGAACAGTATCAGGAATGGTAAACCCTCCTCTGTTAATTCCTGACAAAGCAGATCATACACATTCATAAAACAGAAACAATAATAACCAAAAATTGATAAAGGCAAGTTTATTAAAAGAATCGGTACCAGAAATAAACTGTTGTAATATATATACACATAACAAGAAAACAGCATCATAATCTCATAAGAGTACAAAATTCTTTTCAGCTATTTGTGTTGTTTATGTATTCAGCTACATTCCAGCTTTATGACAGCAGTCTGTTAATAATCAAGACTGGACCAGACAATGTAGTGAATAATATGAACACCTATCTACATATGATAGGCCATGAACCAAGTCAAACAGTTTGATCAAGTGATCCTCTCAGCTCTTACTACCAACATTGTTGCAGGCGATTTGTATTCTTCCCCAGAATCCCTAAAAGTAAACACTTTTTGAACAGTATTCCAACTCAATTTCCCCTCATCAAATGGATGACATTTATCTGACTAGGTCAGCAGCTATAAAATTACAAACCTCTGCATTTTCAAAAGTAATCTCCCTGACAAGGGGCACACACTTGTCCTGGATCCACACTTTGAGATTATCAAAATCGGTCAGGCTTCCCATGAACATCATGTCTTGTTTGCCAGTCTGAAGGGACAAGAAAACAGTTATAAAACATTGTTCCACAGTCTCAGCATTGTGGGTGTAAAGTGAAGAAAATGCCCTCACTAATTACTGCCTTTGCACACATGATGATAATAAAAGAAAGTCTTAAAATCTGTTCTCTTCAAAGTCAAACAGGTCCGATTTATAGAAAGAAAGAGTGACAGAGGCAGCCAGGAGAGACAATAGATTCAGGAGCTTGCTGATCAGCCAGGATACCAAAGGTCTCCATGGCGACAGCTGGGATGTGTTCCGGTGAGGGTTTTCTTTGAAGCTGGAAACAGGTCAGACAGAAACACATCTCCCAGGTGACAACAAAAGTGGGCTCAAACAATTTGCAATTACCACTCTGCCATGAAACATTCCTCACAGGATATAATGGGTTTCAAGCTTCATCATGACATTTGTGGGAGGGGAATTTGACTTGCTGGGCATTAAAACTTCACATAGGTGCACAGTAATTGGGTTACTTTTACCCTTGTTTGGGTTGGCAATTCACTGTTAAGGTATCTCAGAATACTCACACCAGGTGGTTTGAACACAACACGGTCTCCAGCAGTCCTCTCAGCCTCAGATGCTGGGCTGTAACAATCACATGAACCATGTCTAACTTGTCTACGCGATCAAGTTTAATGATAAAGCAATAAATGTTTTTGCACTTATAATGCCTGGAGTGGATAGTCGACCTATCCCCAGGTATTAGAGATATTCTTCATAGCCCAATTCATGGGGCCCAGTCCGGTATACAGGACCCCACAATTCTCCACACCACAGGACCTATCCTCCTCAAAAACAATGTGCCCCACCCTATTTCAGACCAAAGAAACTCACCCTTCTCCAGTCCATGGAGTCCCATCATTTCACAGCCCATTGAGCCCAGCCTTTCACACAGATGTAACTAACACCCATTCTGATACCACATCTATATTACATATATAGAATTTCAACATAACATGCATAGAGGCCTATAAATATTTCAGCACCTCTTTCTCCACTGACTTACCCAAACAGTGCATGAAATTTGCAGTCATCTCTGAAGGAACTTGCAACTCTGGCATATGTCTTGTATGTGTCAGAGTTCTTAGCTTCGAAATAACCCACCACATGCCTCTTTTTGTTCTGAAACAGATGATTTACATGATTAATAAACTGACAGTCGGTGGAAACATCAGTATTGATATATTAACTAAAACGTATCAATATATTGTTTAATAAAACATTTCATAAATCTATGCAAATTCAAATGCATGTATCACCGCTTTTTTGAATGCACAAAATATTCTGACTATTGAAAACATCTCTCAAAGAAGTTACATTCATATATATCCACTTTCACTAAAGGATACAAGGAATATTTTGGGTAATACAAGCAACTTCATACACTCCACATAAGCCAAATTACACTCCTTTCGAAGTTTACACTTGTGTTGTCATTTCCTGTGATGAGGTTACTCACATTTAGTTCCTCCAAGGATTCGATGTCTGTGTGCTCCTCTGCAGGGTCGGTCAACTGATCCTTGATGAACTGAGCAAGTGAGTCAGCTGACCTCTGACCCCTATATTCTTTCTTCACAACTTCACCATTACGGAAAAGTTTTAAAGTTGGATATTTGTTGATTCTATATGATTGAGCAATATTCGCTGAAAACAAAACAGAAAACAATACATTATTTGCCCGAAAAAAATAATCATGGTTTTGATGGAAAAAGTTTGAGTATTTGAACAGGATTTGAAAACACTTCCAAGAACATGCTCTGAAAAACCATATTGGAGGAGTCATAACATGCTTACATCATGCATCAACACATATCATGAGGGGTGGTGGGGTAGCCTAGTGGTTAAAGCGTTGGCTCATTATACCGAAGACACAGGTTCGATTCCCACATGGGTACAATGTGTGAAGCCTATTTCCGGGGTCCCCCACCATGATATTGCTGAAATATTGCTAAAAGTGGCTTAAAACTATACTTGCTCACATATCATGATACTTGCATCAGTCACAACAAAAAGAGGATGTTGCTTCCAGCCCATTTGTATTTTACTTGCACATCTGGTGAATTTAGGTTTGCCTTGACACTAACTCAGATCTAACAATTATCAGTTATCATAAAACATGGTAACAGGGGTGCAAATAACCCATTGCCTGACGTCCGAGTCCAGTGTTTTTTTCTGTTGGGCAAGCAAATTTGTATATCACACTGTACTGGTGTCCAGTTAACTTTCCAACGTTAATTATGTTGTTTATCTAAAAAATCAACAAGAAAACATCCGGTATAGTGGAAAAATTATCAGGGCAAGTGATTTTACATGTGCCACTGTACCGGAGTACACTAGCAATTTTAAAGTTATTTCCACCCCTGGGTAAACATTATTGTGAAAATCCATACAGAATTAAAATATGAATCATCATAAAGTCCTCATTTATTACTAAGCATGCTAACACAGTGTATAGTTCAGCCAGTAATATTCCACCTGATCACAACTGGTCTTGTCTGGTCAGTGTGAACTGTAATGCTGGGTATACACAATTTGCTAACAATTTGATCCATTCAACATGTCTGAGTAACAATGCTCGACTCACTTTCACGATCACAGTCTACTTTTCCAAAAACAACTCTGCCAGGCATCTGAAAAAGGAATCCCATACAAAGGTTATAGTTTGTTATTTCCTAAATCTCTCGGTTTACATCCTATTTACACCGGAGACTACACTGAGGCAGGAAAACCTTGATATATGAATGCTTAAAAAAAGGAGACAGTGTAAGTGTTGTGTTTTTATCTTGATGTCAAATTTTAAAATCTAAAATAGAGATACACACACTGATCATGTTAATAAGATGAAATTGTGAAAACTTATCAAAGTTGTACACATACTTCATCGTGCTGTACATAAGGAACTAAGAAGGAAGTTGGTGGATTATAACAACTTGATACAAGCAGGAAGGGATGGTTAACATGGTTCATCAGATAAGCAGTGTGTTCAGTTATTATTGTTGATTTATAAACTTACAGGAACTGCCTTTAACTTTTTGATGAAGCAATAAATAGTTGATACATTCTGGGCTTATTTTCAGGGACAAGGACTAGCAAACCAAACTGATACAGAAAGTTATTACAGTTCGAGTGAGGGGTCTAATGGGTATCCTCCCGGTTTACTCTCATTCTGCCTACAGACATAATAAAAATGAAGGCAGAATGAGAAAAATCAGGCCACCTCTAATTTAGAAATGGGCTTGGTATTTTGTTTCAATCCGTGAATTCATCAATTAGGGGTGACCAGCATGGCCCAATTAATTAGTGTGCTATTTTTATCTGCATTTGGGAGGTATGTGTTATGGGAGTAAACCGTTTAATGCCAACTTTACCATGTTCACTGTCAGATATACATGGTATAAACCTTGAAGGGCTACTTACAGGAAATGCCTCCCTCACTTTGTTAGAGGCTTCTTCAAACACAGGCGTCAACATCTGACTGAATCGGCACCTGCAATGTATTTGGTTCATCTAAAAGTCGTGTAATACTCTACAAATTTCATAGATAAGAACCGATGCAATATCAAATGTGGATGACATTCTGTTGAGATTTCTATAATCACTACATCTAGCAGACTTCAATCAAGTGACAGGCCGTGATTAATTGTAATGGATTGTACTATTCATTGATTCAAAGTCATTCTCCTCATAGTATTTCTGAAACTAACAAGAACTCATATCAGACAGTACTCATGTAACAAAACAACTGAACACATTCATGTATTTCACAAAGTGAATTTATACAAATACAAAAGGCTGGAGCGAAGCAAGTATCAGTTTACGAGCTAATAATCTCCAGCCTCTTCAAAGAGTCATATTATATTGATGTCGAGATGTATCAGATAGGTATTGATAGTTTTACACACGAGAGACAGTTTATTGTAATCTCACCTCATTGCAATTGATATGAACACTACACAAATGGATACACAACATCTAGAACTGTGATGAGCTATTCTTGAGTATTGAGAGACTTTCATTAAAATAACGGACATAAACATAGCTATATTTTAATGTTTCATGTACCTGATAATAATACAAAGTATGTTTGAAACCAGGGATCTAACAGGTGGCGTACAAGAAAGATTGTCCTCTATTCAGAACTATTCAGAATAAAGTAGCAGGTTTTGTCAAAAAGGCAGGTCAACATGGTCTAGAAACATCTGATTTCATCCATTTTCCCTGTGTCAGCAAAATAATCAAACCAGATGACTAATTTTTCATTGTATACCAATAACTGAACTCTGTCCATAAAAAAACAGTGTTCCCTATACAATTCACAGCTGTATGTGAACAGACTGTTGCATCAGCTGAGGTGTTATTCAGCATCAAAACAAGTCAATGCTTTTAACACACCATGATTCATTGTCAATGACAGACTGTTTCAATATATAATGAAACAGCAGAATATTTGGAACCATTGTTATTAACCATGATGGTAAATTTAGTGCATATGTAAGTATGCATACTGAAAGGAGCACATCTGGTCATAAGACACAGTGCCACTTACATTAAAAGGTTTTGAATAAATCCTAAGTTGTATCAAAATCCTCTACTGCAGTACCTTTATATAAATCTGTAATGAAAACATGACACCTGAAACTCTGACTATCTCCAGACTGGAGGACCAAGAACAAGATGGAATTGGAAATACATCCAATAATGTAACGTTTTGTCTCCATGACACGAGTTGCATGTAATTGATAAGATTTTCATTGCTACTACTCTCCAAAGTCTCATCTCAGTTCAAACACCTGTTATTGTCAACACCTGCTGCATTAATATTCCACAATGAATTCATTGACAGCCTTATCAGCTATATCAGGATACAATGTCAGGTTTGTAGACAATGGATTCCACACAAATGAGCCAGTATCTTCTTAAAACATCTTTTAGATTTTCATAACTGAGAGGACAACATGGCATTTTATTAAATTGCATTTTGCTGGTATGTGAAGCAAATCTAAAACTATGGACTACCAATCTAACTGGAGAGTGGGTGACAGTTTGAAGGATATGGAGATTGTGCCCACACATATTAATACAGGATTCCAAACAAATGCCCAAGGCAGGCAGACTTTGGAAAAGGTCATAGTCATGTTCATACATTCAGGGTTACTTTAACTTTGTCCTTTACCACTTCCTTCAATGCAACACTGTATTTTCTCTTTGGTGGTCATGTTATCATTGAAACACTAGTCACCTAACAACATTTACAACTGGGAACATTTTAATTCCAACAGGCAGAACCCAGCTAATAGCATATGCTGGAAGCTGTACTTGAGAAAATATGATGACACAAAAAGCTAGAGTTAAACAGTTCCTAAGTGAGCAAATAAATTACAACTGACTAATGTGAGGTATACTTTACATCATGGGACATAATATCTTCCTGGAGTGATATATTTTGAGATGATGTCACTGAAAGGCTGTAACTACTTCCTAATACTTACCAGTCAGCATAGAAATTCACGAACACTATTTCATGTGTGCCTGAAAAACAATAAATAGATTGACCTTTATACTAAGAATATCATACAATATCACAAACAGTAATGTATCTGAATATATGTACTTCACTAATGATACACCATTGCTCAACTTTGATGGTAAACCCCACTACTTTCATTTCCATGAGGCAGGTTTTATTAATCATACTGTATACAGATCTCACTACCCCAACTATTTCACACATGTTGAATAAACCTAAATTTAGAGGAGTCATTTGATTTCTATTAAAAAATAATGTTATTTCCTTAAGTGTCACAAATACATGTTCTTGACACGTTACTTTATTACAACTGAGAAAACTAGCAATCTAGGACTTTTTTAAAAGAAAGTCTATGAACATGATGAACAAATTAAACATGTTCCTAGTTGTAAAAGAACCAACCAACCAACCAACCATCAGACTAATTAAAAAGAATTAATTATATAAATGTATTCTGCTCTTCAGTACAATTACATTTTGCATACAAATGTGCATCAGTAGTGGCAAGAATATAGAATGAACCATGCAAAGTGCAACACAACTTCAGGACCCTGCTGAGGAAGGTTGCCACTTGACATGATGTAACCTTGGTTACTCACCTAAAATGCTGTTGACATTGCCGTCATTGAGGGGCTGGACCTCTGTCTTGACAACACTCACCAGCTGGAAAATACACATGCTAACATTAACACATACACAAAGGTTGGAATTTGGACGGAAACTGCAGGGGAAAATGTATCCCAGCTATTATTGTATCCAACAAGAAGGCAGTTTGAAAATGTTACTTATAACAAAAAATGGGGATTTTTTTTTCAAAGTTAGTGATTAACTTGACTGATGATGGTCTTCTCATTGGTCAATATTTGGACCCAAGACATTGAAGGTTGGTAAAATTTCATCAGTTGGAAATGAAAAATCCAAGCTAATCATTTAGATATAGTGAGTGAGTGAGTTTAGCTTTACGCCGCACTCAGCAATATTCCAGCTATAAAGCGGCAGTCTGTAAATAATCGAGTCTGGACCAGACAATCCAGTGATCAGCAGCACGAGCATCGATCTGCGCAATTGGGAACCGATGACGTGTCAAGCAAGCCAGCGAGCCTCACCACCCGATCCCGTTAGTCGCCTCTTATGACAAGCATGGGTTACTGAAGGTTCATTCTAACCTAGACTTTCACGGGTCATTTAGATATAGTAATGCCTAAATTTTGCAAATGTGACTTATAACTTACAGCCAGAATAACCAACAATGAGATGAGGTTTTTGAACATGTTACTTTATTGCAGGTATGTAATCATGGTGACGACTTTACTGGTGTGACTTATGGAATACATGTGATTTGTTGCGTAGTAATATGTACATGAAACACTGAAAGTGAAACCATAACTGCATACATGACACAATCAATATTTAGTATGTCAAATACAAACTTTTAGTAAATAAAATGCCAAAATTTCTCTAAAAGAAAAAGAAATTTGGGCAGGAATCATGCAAAAGACAAACTGCATTGGACAGTTCCATTTAGCAAACTTTAGGAATATTTTCGCTATGTTTAAGAAATTCTTTTCGATCATCATCATAGTGTAAAAAGAACGACATTTTGAAGGAGAGTGAATATCTTACGTAACAGTCTTTTCACTGGGACTGGGACAAATGCACTGAGGTGAGTTTGATGGGTAATGAATATGAATATTTATTTATGGACACTTTCTGTTTAATATCAAGGAATTGAAATAACAAACGTAATGTAATCACTTATGCAGAAACATTTCAATGATGTGTTTTGAAAAGCAAAAACACAACAAAGCTACTTCTAACCCAATGACAGAAGGGGCCTTGGCAAAAAGAGTGAGTGAGTGAGTTTAATTTTACGCCGCACTCAGCATAGCATCAATCTGCGTAATTGGGAACCGATGATATGTGTCAACCAAGTCAGCGAGCCTGACCATCTGATCCCATTAGTCGCCTCTTACGACAAGCATGGCTTACTGAAGATCAATTCTAACCCGGACTTTCATGGGTCCTTGGCAAAATGACACTGCATCACTTGTATGTATTCCATTCTGTATATCTCACTTTGATAAATAACAGATGTCTTCCAAGTACAAAACACTCTTTTATTCAAGACCACAAATAACATACTGATTTCATGATCATGATGAAATAATGTGGTTCAAGACCATATTACTGACTGAAAAACTTTGGCATTCTTACATTCAAACTGTCATCGTGTTTTTAATGGCAGACATGTATCAATACTTTATAACATGATTAATAACAATAGGTCACAGCAGTCACGGTAGTTTAAAGTCAATTATCATTCATAACTGAGACTACCCACTGAGTATCAGTTGATTACAAGTGCTGATAACTGGCATTCCACACTCCCACCTGAACATTACAGCCTGCACTACTTGATGCCAATAACCAGCTGGTAATGTTCAGTTATGGGATTTTGTTTATATATCTTGATGTCAAACCTAGATATAGGATAATCTCATCAATACTTAGCACAGACTTCACAAGTACCAATACTTATACTTAATATGTTATATGGTACCACTGTAAAAGCCTCATAACCATCATTTCCATTACAACTGTCTGTTAAAGCTTTATAAAGAACCAAATATATCTCAGAAACCCTAAACTGGACAGAATGCATGTAATATCTACTTTTTTAACGATGAAACACAATCTCAGGATTACAAAATTAACACACTCCTCCTTGTCCAATAGTAGGACAGGTGTTCGTCCACATTTCCTTGTGGCTTAACACTTTCACCATACCAGTTCATTTGTTGTCAGATATTGAAAACTAATTATGGATCATATTGGTTGTATAGATAAACGACAAATGTCGATGTCATGTGTACGAGTATGACACTAGCATAAATTAACTGAGCATGAAACTTGGTCCAGAATACATATACAATAGAGACTACTTTCATTGCCACTCTGGCTAGTGACATTCAGCTTAATGCCAGAGGCACTAATAAACCTAAACGGACAGTTCAATATATACTTAACATAATGTCCTTGAGGCTAATCTACACTCTGTTTGAACTTCCTGAGATTCGACAGAGAGTGATAGCTTTTTCTCAGGAACTTGGCACATAGAGAGATGACAGTGAGTGCTTATCAATATTACAAAGACATATTTCATCATCTGGCCAAACCCAGCCTTCATCCAAAGGGTCAGACAGAATTTAACATTTTAACCAAGTCTCTTGAAAATCATTAATACTTCAGAATAGTAACTAAAATAAACACCACAAACATTTGACTTTAATGTTTACAAATACATTTTAGCAGTTTCCTTGATCATGCCTGCATTGATTCTACAATAAAAGAAATAAGGAAAACTGTATGAGCCCAGGTCAGCCATATCCATGCATCAACGAAAAGGACCAGCATTAATTCTAAACTGTCCAAATGTGGGCCAATGAACTGCAGAAATATGGACCAAACAAGGTGTGATAGACTGCTGATAATATACAGACCAATCCACAGCAATACATTCCATATTTGAAGACTTCCAATTTCACTAATAATTTAAAAGAAAAGCACATGTTTTTGTCCTAATACTACCATGGTCATTAATATATTTACAAGTATCATGTTAAAACTGTCAATGACACATGCACTATTATGGTCCATTTTAGAGGAAATCTCCATCATATCAGATCATATCGTTAACTGCCCCTGCACCAATGATCTGAGGACATACCAAAGAAAAAGCACCATTTGGAAACATAATAAGCAAGATTGGCCGAATGGTGCCTACTGAACCTTTCAAACCTAAGCAGGTTCCTGGAGGTTTGTTTTGGTTGCATTTGAATCAAAATTGGTCAAAAGTCTTTAACTTTTAACATTAGGGTTATGACAAAGACACCCTGATTTTCATACATAATTTTGTACACAGCCTAAATTTCATGGATGCTTATTTCACTGTCATCTACTGGTCATAACAACTCTTATTTATTGGATATTAGTGGATTTTTCATTATTGATCAACCTCACCAGTGGGATGTCGGATGTGTCGTATTCATGGTGTTTATAAAAATCACTATAATGTTCATCCTGTTTCTTTTGTTATGTATAGACCAACAATCAACACATGAAGTAACTTAATCCATAAATCCAATTCATCACAGATGAAACTATATATTACCACTGAACCAGAACCCATGAACTTTGTAACAGTGATACTAAATCAATATTCATCTCCATGAAGGCAACATGTGGCCTACACTTGCTGACAGAAAATGTTCAAGCCAGTAAAGTGAGACCCACAGCGAAGTATTATACATTCTATTGACACATAAAGAAAGAGTTGTTGTTCCACTTACATGTATACCCTTGGTTAATTATTGTAAATCATTGTTTGTGACAAAAACAGTCCTGACAGAAAAATATTCACCAAAGTTCCAAACACAACAAAACTTCACAGGAATTCTCCATGACAGTTGCAGGATTTTGAAAGAGACGGTCTATGGTACCCTGTTTTGAAACAAAATGTTATTGGAACCACAACATATATTTTGAGCTTAGATTTGTTTGAAACTAATAAAATTGAATTTTAAATGGGCCTGAACATAATAACAGTGAGTGTAAATTGAGTGAAATAGAAATGGTCACACAAAGCCAAATTTTGCCTAATACACATGATTACAACACATAATGTATTTCATATCCAAGACAAGTGCCTCCTACTTTGCCTAAAGGCAAGTATGGCAGCTTAATTAACTGCCTCTAGCAACTTAGTCATGGATGAGACCACAAATCTGATAACCAAGATCAAAATCATCTCCCTGATACACTTATCTTACACTTGATACCCTCTCTTATTGTTATTTATGTGGAAGGTGATGCCAAATCTTTCAAACACTTCATAAATAACTGAATCAGTAGCTATGACCACAGTTCTGACTAGAAGGCTTTTAACATCAAAGGGTAAACAGATTTTAACCTGAGTGAGGCAGCAGTTGGTTACATACACAATCTTACAATCTAGTACCCATCTTTCAGCCAAGATTTCTCAAATTATAACTTTCCATATGGTATTAATGGTATGAATATACTTTTCTGAATGTGACACTATAATTTTGAACAAGTAGACCAGTATCATTTCCTGTTCTCATGTCCTATCTTTGCCCAGATCTTGCAATGTTCAAATAATCCCAGTAAAATGTATTTCCCAAGTATGCAGTATGGACATGATGGAGTACCCAACTGGTATCAGTGCAACAACAAGATTAAGTTTCATGTTATCAATGGGACCCTGTATTATCGCGGTAGTTAATGTTTTCGCCATCGGGATTATGAACGGCTACTGACATTTAGCATTTTATATATATTTTCAGTTGACTGATGTTTAATCTTCATTTCTGTCACAAATTATGTGACACATCGTCGCAACTCATTTAATATCAATTTATCATTGCGGCAATTCAGATTGTCTCGTTTCTACCGGAAATTGAAGCAACTCTCTATTATCGTGGTATTGCTATTTTCTTACTATGGCACGCGGTACAAGCAGATGACACCGTGAAACGTTTACTAAGACAAGTAACGAATCTAAATAGTTTGATCATTAAAAAATATTTAGGAATTTCATTCACATTAGTAATATCATCATGTTTTTTACCCAAACATCTGAAACTTCTATTCATTTGGATACAAGGTAACAATACATTACAAACTATTGGTTTTCCACCTTAAAATGTACCATACAAGTTGCTGCCATGTGTAGAGTAAAGATGCATAACATGTCACTTCCTGTTATATTATTAGCACGGAAAATATGCAAATGACCTTATAGTTGTCGCAGGATTACTCTTGATGAAGTAAGTTTTGATTCATGCTAGATGTAATGGCAGTAGGGATCATACTAGTTTCAAAATGTTCTAGAACTTACTGAAAAGATGAATGCTTTAATACTTCTACAATTAGACATGACATTCCAATGAAATAAATAACTTTTTCAATAGCGATGAATTTATTTTACATAAGTTGCATATGTAAACAGCCGATGCGGGGCGTGGTGTTTCTGTTTTCTCGATGTTTTCGCGTCTGCGATAATAGAGAGCCCGCAATAATAGAGAGTCCCAGTATATACCTTCCACTCCGTTTCAACAGGTGTTTTCAAACACACCCAAGCATGAAGGGCAAATAGTGTCACATGCTCTTGATACAAGTACAAATGATAATGAAACATAAGAACATAAGTGCATAGTCATATTTGCACAAGCACATATGTGACATTCTGGATATACATGATAAATTATTGATGCTATGGCTTGCTGTAGACATCAAGGCGTTTGATAACTTGTCACACTAAACGGGAATATAGGCATGTTGAAATTAAGAATGACCTCCATTTTTAGCAATGTCGGATGAAATGATAATTTAAAGAAACTATCACAACTGTGAAGTATATATTTAAGATACTAAATATAGAACCATGAACTTCAAAGTGCAAATATTCATTATTTATTTTGTGATAAATTCAAAGAGGAAATTATCACCGATCAACGCATGCTTCTGATAAGAGAGCCAAGTCATCCAATTCACAAAATTAAACTTTATAAAGTTATAAAAAAGTATTTGCAACATGGTAAACCAGTCATTAAAATAGGACATGCCTAGGAAACAGAGAATGTCACGTTTTAGTCAGTTTGTTGACAGAGCGACAGGAGCAGATTTCGCGCGTGCAATCAATCAAATGCAATATTTACTTACCCATGCAAATAGGATGCACAAGAGGTTCGTTGATTGTCTTCGTATCAACGATTTCATCGTTGCAATTATCGGCTGCAGACGTAAATACCCACACACCGGTAACCAGATGCTTTCCACACCTGAGTCCAAACAAATATGGCTGAGTGTGTGCGTGTAATCTCGCGCAGATACTATATTCTACATGACAGATTCCGTTAAACGAGAACCTTCTCAAAGCGCGAAATTTGAAAGTATGAAGTTTTGCGTTGACAAGCTGCTGTCCTCGCATACTGTTGCCGAAATTGAAGATTTGGGGCATCCTCACCTTTACAATGCATTTCTTATGCTTGGTTCGAAACAAATTTACGTTTTCGTTTATCTATCTTTACACGCTGCGTTTAACGAGTGGGCGTGACTGAATTTTAACAAAGACGGAGCATCCAGGTAAAGTGCACCAAACAGAACTTTATGTATGAAACACAGAAATATTTTGTGGATGAATACCCTCTATACAGATGTTGAAAACAGTGTTCGAAATTATGTTTATTACTTGCATTTTGCTGAGTGATTGTCTGAAATAATGCGCGACAATGATTTAAACAAAATAGAGACTACTTAAGTCTTAGATGTTTGATTGGCATTTTAGAAGATGCTATTTGATGAACATAGAGGCTTTTCTGGGTTTCATCTTCTTTTTATTGTTTGGTACTACGTTTCAGGGCTTGTTCTGGCCCCATCATCAGGTAGAACTAAAGAACAGTCGTCACTGTTCTTTAGTTCTACCTGATGATGGGGCCAGGGCACTTCTGTTTATTGTCTCCCCTAGGTACTATTACTTGTATCCATCGCGAACAAAATTTAATTAATTGTGAGCAACAAAAAATTATTACTCATCCAATCACTAAACATCCTGCGATATATTTGTAAAAAGAAACCCGCCCGTTTAATGTATCATATAAGCATTAAAATGGCATAACATTTGCCCCACCTGTCCTCCGCTAAAAGGGGCGGTGGTGTAGTCTAGTGGTTAAAGCGCTAGCGTTCGCTCGTCACGCCAAAGACCCTCGTTCGATTCCCCACATGGGTGCAAAGTTTGAAGCCCATTTCTGGTGTCCCACGCCGTGATATTGCTGAAATATTGCTAAAAGCGGCTTAAAACTATACTTGCTCACATATAATGATACTTGCATCAGTCAGGATATGATATGTATCATGTTTCTCAGTTCTGCACTCTTGCTTGTCAACGGTACCAGAATCTGTATCGAAACGTCAGAATCACGAAATAAAGTAGTTGTTATCAATAAAAAAATGTTCTATATTGTACGTCCCAACTTCTAAAATGCCACTCAAACAAGTCGCCGTGATATTGTTGGAATATTGCTAAAGGCAGCGTAAAACTAAATTCACTCGCTCGTTCTATTTCGTGTCATCTCCTGTATTGTTCTCTTGACTATGTTGCATCTGAGTAAAATTCTCGTCCTTGTTATGTGAGGCTTAGTAAAGTAATTTACCTTGTAAGTATGTATCTGTTTTACTCACAGCCCCGTACTGCCCCGATCAACCTGGCGGATACCATAACGACCCGGGGAACCACGGAGTACATCTCCAACGAAAATGGGTAAACACTACCTGAGCATTTCTACTGTATTTGACTGACCCGTACCCAAAGTCGGACAATCCGTACCCAGATCTGAATTATCTGTACCCAAAAATATCTTTAAAGTGAAATGTCCGAAATCAATCTGCTATGACCGTTATAGCCCGTAAAACGACAGAATATACATTGTATGTTTCAAATTATTTATTCAGCACTAAAGTCTCATGAATTCTAATCTGCATTTTCAAAGCAATATATTCAGAACACTGTTCAGTATAGATTACAAACATTCATCTATTTTACATTCATTAGCTTCCTTCATTGTGATGATTTATGTAGGTGAACTTATCTTTTGCCTTTATGAATGCATTATGTATTTTACATTTTAAAATGTTTTACTAAGCCTTTTGATGTCTCATAGGCCTTTAGGCTGAGTGCTGCACCGTTATCACCCTGTAGTGTTTGTGTGGACTACAGTGGGACCTGTTAGGTGCTAGACCCGTGAAGATCCGGGGTAGAATAGGTCTTCAGCAACCCATGCTTGCCAGAAAAGGCGACTATGCTTGTCGTAAGAGGCGACTAACGGGATCGGGTGGTCGGGCTCGCTGTCTTGGTTGACACATGTCATTGGTTCCCAATTGCGCAGATCGATGCTCATGCTGTTGATCACTGGATTGTCTGGTCCAGACTCGATTATTTACAGACCGCCGCCATATAGCTGGAATATTGCTGAGTGCGGCGTACAGCTAAACTCACTCACTCATTAGGCTGAGTGCCTGTATAATATATACGCCAGTTAGCTTTTCAAGACCTGTTGGACTCAGACTGTATATACAGCGCATGTGACATCTAAATAAAATCTTCTTCTTCTGAAAACCAACTATATCCAATAGCTATATATGGTTATGAATGGGGTCCTATTCAAAATGGCCACACGTCAAAATGGCCACTAAAAAAGGTCAAAATGGCCACAAACCCCTAGTCAAAATGGCCACCCCAAAAAGTCAAAATGGCCATACAAAAAGTCAAAATGGCCACAGATTATTTTTTATATTTTTTTAATACTCATAACATTTTCGCTTGTTGTATTATGTGATATCAAGGTGTAAAAATGACAAAAGAAGTTATATCAGACAAAACTTGATGTTTATTACACATCAACAAATAACAAGACAGATAAATGTAGTTTCTTTCTTCATGTACATGCACTTTTGTATTGTTATATTTATATTTCCGGTTATAAGTTTAGCCCCCAAACATACCATTCTGCTTTTAATAACATTTACAAGTGGGAATCTACCAAACTGGCCATATACCTTAAAGGTCACATGCAACGTAAAATACCACTTTGCAGATTCTGATACCAATCGGTATGGACTTACCGAGACAAATCATCAAAAATGCAAATTCAACTAATAAAGTTGAAAAATAACGCGATGAAAAAACCTCGCGAAATCGAAGTTCAAACGATTCACTAATTTTCCCCCAGCGCTGTATATTCAGGTAATATGGGTGGTGATGGGTGGGGATTGGGCGGAAGTCTTTCCAAATGATTGGCAACGGGTCCACTTAAAAAATGTCAAAGAGCAAAGTATGGACGTTTCGAGGAAATCATTAAAATTGAATAAAATAATGAATAAAATCAACAGTTTTCAATAAAGTTGTCAAACGTACATCTAAGTTACTATTTCCATTTTTTTCGTGCGATCATGTTATGTAAGTCAAGTGACATCTCGGCTTTCGTCACCTCGATCTTTATGCTCGGACACGATGTTTAATGAGAAAACATTTGCATAAAGAATATTTGTCACAGGTCACCACCTAGCACGATACGTCCAGTAAGTTCCATAAGTTACGTATATATGACGATTTGATGCTTAACACGTTCAGAAAAGCATTATTGTACCCAAATATAAACAGAAGAATGTTCTGTTTCCTTTTTTCACTTTGAAAGAAGCTATACAATGCACAATGGTTACTCACATATACTGTGATTCAATTTGAAGGTAAAAGAATATTACCAAGTGGACAGATCTCAATAACTGTTCTTTCACAATATATCTCAATACGTATCGCAATACAGAAGAGTGTATCGCAATATATCGCAATACGAAATTTGGGGCAATACACAGCCCTAGCATCTTGCCCTCATCTTCACTTGTGACTCCTGAAGTTTACCAGACTCTATGGGATGGGAGGTTAGGTCCATTCTCCCCTTTTCTGCTTGTTCACAATAAACATATAACCATTTACATGTATGTATCTTCCACCACGAGAAGTAGGAAGAAATTTATTGTGCATTTGCCATAACTGAAGTTGTGGAAATGATGATGAAAACTGTCAGTTCCAACATTATTATAGCATGCAAGTTTATGTAAGAAATTGAATAGCTCACTACTAATGAATTGAGTGAACTAAACTCACTCACTAACCCGCTGGTTCACATGTCAACCCGCTTGTACAAATGTCATATTTCGTTGCCTGGGTGGACACATTTTACATTTTGTAGAAAACCAGTGTCTTAATCCCTTAAAACCGTTTTCACAACATCAAATACCAAAGGGTTTTTACTTCGACCCTAAAGGTCGAACTTACGGGACTACCCCGGATGGGAGTGTGGGGAAGACCCCTTAGTAAAGGTGTCCTGGTCAATTATTGTCATGTTATCAAAACACTGCCCAATGATCAAAGGGTTTTTAAATAACCATGCATGGCCATTTTGACTTTTTCTTTGGCCATTTTGACTTTTTGGTATGGCCATTTTGACTAGGGGTTGTGGCCATTTTGACTTTTTTGTGTGGCCAGTTTGACTAGGGTCAGTGTGGCCATTTTGTCGTGTGGCCATTTTGACCTGTTCCCTATGAATGAACCCAATTTGCATGATGCTGTTCTCACTTGCTGCTATGTTGACACGGTGAAATTGCACTGATGGCATTTTTCAAACATTATCATTTATAAATCATCTAAACATAATTTGAACGATATTTCATTCATTTGAATATACCTTCACTAACAATTCAGTGTAAAATGAGGTCGCACAGTTTCTTCGGAGGCATTTCAAGAAGGTGTTATATAATGATTAGTTGTACAACAAATATTATTATTCTGATCTCGTAAAAGAGAGAAAAATAATCACGTTAACGCTACAAGGAAGTAATTTCGAAGTTTTACTAAGAATCTTACAACCTCCATTAGGAATTATGCCCATGATACATAGACAATACGAAGAAAAATATATTTTGGTAACTCTCGCGGTGTGTACTTCCGCTCATACATGCGCACTTCGTCGCATAGCTGGTAGCAGAAATGTTTTGATGGAAACCAATTTGACATCTGCGGAAACAAAATTTTATCATGTGACAGCTAAATACCTAATGTGCCTTCATGCAGACTGGATTTTCTGTACCATCCACAGATTAACATATCCACAAGTTTCAGAAACCTGTTATAAAGAAAAGGTAACAACAAATGCTATATTTTGGGGCACGTGTTATAAATAATTGAATGCAAGTAGACAGGTCGCAGACCGCATTGAATGAAAACATTGGGGCTGTGAATAAAAGTGTTGCTTATGAAAGCGTAGCTGAATAGCCTCGCTTCTATATTAGGCATAAAGAGGGACGTGCCTCTGAACACTTTTATTAGTGTCATTACTCTAATGTGTCAAATATTTTTGTGACTGATATACCTATACAGTGAATTGTGAACGTGACTGACGAAGACTTCTGGTATCCTAAGTATTATCAGTGTATGACATAAGCCATAAACCCAGCCAGACAGTATCAACCTAGGTGTCAACAACGCAACATAATTTCTGCTCTTGATGTTGGGGAAAGAGTTCCTTACGTACCTAACACACACACCCCCCCCCCGCCTATTTTATAAGGTACTTTTCATTACGAAGGAATTCTTACCCAGGGTGGGTTGCATCACACAAACATTGTAGATACTCAGATAATGCCTAAGTGTTTACAATGTAGTTGTCTTCAATAAGTCAGTGACATATTTTGCAATTGTTCATGTGATAATCAAGACAACCATGGATGTTCTTGAGCATAAAAATTACATAACACATTGGTAATTATCAGGTTTGTCAGTTAAACATGTTTTTCATGAGTGTTTACTGTTATAGCACTGGATGTTGAAAAAGCAAAGTGGAATAACTGGTAGTCTGAAACCAGATGAACACACAAGTAATCTAACTATAAATGAATTCTGAAGCATCAAAATGTGTATTGAATCTTTCAGAGTGAGTTGTGATGTCGTTGTTCAAGATCCGGGACTGGTGGTCCACTACAGTGGGAGAAGATGAAGAGTTTGACCAGGGATGTCTGTGTGTGGCAAACATTGACAACAGCAGTGATGGCATAGGTCAGTAGTTACAGTGGTAGATTTTAAAGAGGTACTGGGGTTCTTTTAAGCTGCTGATATGACATGTTAGACCTCCTAACATGCCCTTGTCTAAGCATGAGGTTATGCCTGTGAGGCGCCAGACAGATAACAGTCATATGGCCATCTTATCCTACCGGGTACCCAGTCGCTGCTAGGTGAACAGAGGCAATTTTGAATAAACTCATTTGTCTGAGGTGAGACCACATGCGTCACATCTACTTCGTTGTGGATGCATAATACAGAGCTGCAGCCCTAGTAGTAGTATGGTGATCTACCTTCAGTTGTTGGCAATATATAGCCAGTTTTTATATTGTATTGTCTTCTGTAAGGCCTAAAAAATAAAGGCCTGATAAAGTCGACATGATGGCTGCAAGCTTGTTTCAATGAACAATTACACATTGATAAATGTGTTATTAGTTTGTACTTTACTTCTAAAAAAAAATATTTTTTAAATAAATCCTACCTACCTACCCTACATTTTAAAGAGGTGTATTTGGAACCACAACATTTTTTATTTGGCCTAATTAAAATGTTTTAGATTTGCATACTAGTTTTATATTCATATCTGTGATATTTGGGTTGTTTTTACTGTCCTTCGCTGACAGGTTTTTATAATTTACCTTTAATTGTTATGAAATTAATACTTGTTTTTAGTCATGATATGGCTGAAATATTGCCGATGTGACTTAGTTAAGTTAAAATCTCAACTCACTCACGTACTCTGAGCTGCAGCCAAACTGATATGTGTTGATTAGTGTATACATGACTTGAATGTGTAATGTGCGAACATCCCTTCAGTGAATTCAAGTAAATGAACTTATGATAGCAAAGTTTGTCAGTGAAATGTTGATCTGGCAATCCATTATCACTTGACATGATGATTTACCATTTAGTTTAAATTGTATATTCTGTTCTGTTATTAATTGTTGTGTATGCTGAAATTTTGTTTACTCTGTATTTTCTCTTACACAAAGCTGGAAGTAGAATTCAGTTTCATCCATTTGTTTTACCAATTTATCTATAATTCAAAATTTTATAATGGTAAGAAATACCCAAGAATATATCCTGAAAGAATTTTGATGAACTGATCGGATGAACCTTTCCAGAAATAATCTATTTAATATCAAGTTATGAATGTAAAAAAATATTTTTGAAAGCAATTATAACCGTAAGTATAGCACATGGGGAAATTGTTCAATATATTTTAGCTCGAGGAAGTAAATGATAAAAAATGCATATATAGTAATGCATATAAATTTCCTGGAGTATTTAAGATAAATTCAGTCATTACTTGGAACGAACTTGTAGTGCTTATGAAATGTAAATTTAATGACACAGACAAAACCAACCTTTTGCAAAATATTGTTAATGCAAACAAGTGTTCCAAAATTGTTTGTGATCGATTGTGAGAAAACACGATTGATTGCTTGGTCGTTTAGTCACTGCGACCAATCTTCGATTATTTCAATTAATCGGACCACCGCTAGTTGCCAGGATCAGTTTGTCAAGAGTTCAGACCCCCAAATTTCCCCTGAGTTGGGGGGTGGTAGGGTACCCTAATGTTTAAAGTGTCCGCTCATTATGCCGAAAACCCGGGTTCGATTCCCTACATAGGTACAATGTGTGAAGCCCATTTCTGCTGTGATATTGCTGGAATATTGCTAAAAGCGGCCTATAACCATACTCACTCCCCTGATTGATGACAGCAAAGTCCTTATTTGTCATTTTAGTGGTGCTACACATGTACCACAGAAACATAAACAATCCTGAAAAGCTGACTTGTAGGACCAGGGTGGGTTTTCAAGCTCATGTTTATCACCCAACCTGTGCCATGTTTGGCTTGTGTGTTGCCAGTCAGATTGAAGCCTCCAACCTTTTTATTTCAAACCTTATGGTTGAATGTAAACAAATAAATACAAGAGATTTAGCATGTTAAGTTGTTGACTGGTCGTAGACATTTATAAACATTTCACATATGCAACATAGGATTATTCTTTCTTTAACTGAGTACAAATATGTATTTTGTGTGGTCATGTGTTGTCATACATATCATTACATATCATATTGAAGACCATGTTATATGGTGCATCAGTGTTTTGGTAAGTCGTATCACCTGCATGTGACCCAAACAGTGATAACTCTTCAGACTAGTCACATCAGGCTGTAATGCAATGATATGATGCTGATACTGTAGTAATGCACATGTATAATTATACATGCTTTCCTTCAGCAAGCTCTTGGTCTGTAACAATACACATTGTTAACTAGTGCACAATCTAGTTAGTGGCGTTGCACACAGTGTGCCATTAGCAAAATAAGAAAACAAAATTTGTGTCATGCAGCATGTCATTTGCTATCGTGAAAATAACCATCAAGCAATTGAACTGAATTTAATATATTAGCAAACACTGGTTTGATAACATGTGAGTGAATGAGTATGGTTTTATGCCACTTTTAGCAATATTCCAATAATATCAAAGGTGGGGAACAAAAGACCAGAAATGGGCGTTAGACGAATTCCTGCGTCCTGTATGCATAAAAATTGACAATGGACGCAACAAAATTTATAAGGCGTCCACAGGGACACAGAAAAAGCCTAAATATTTTTTGTAAAAAATTTGTTCAAGTAACAATAAGTTATCACTGAGTCTGCTACTAGCCAGGTTATGGTATTTGCAGTTTAATTACTGTAACAATGTGATGATCATGATACTTGATACAATAACAGAAGCTGGATTACAACAATACATCACTGTTCATTAGAGATGCTTAGTAATGATTATATATTTGCAGATAAGATCATTTTGGGCAGTTACAATGGCATTCTACGGATCTTCAATCCAAGTCCAACAAAAGGCGAGTCAGGATGGAGCGGGTATAAGGCCGAGGATGTTATGCTGGAACATGCGTTCCCCAACCCAATACTCCAGGTGGAGGCGGGCAAGTTCTCATCGTGAGTACTGGGAATGTCTTATGTTTGCTAGTAGTACTTGTATGCTTTTCTGTAAACTGCAAGACCTGGGTGTATCAAACTAAGCGAGCATAGCGTTGAGGTGATTGTAACTCCCATACCTTAACATAGACTTACAACAGTCATTGTGCTATGGTTATTTTGTACAATGGGACCCAGTTGTGAAAGAGTGGGGACGGGGTGCAGATGGCCAAGTCAACGAGGGCAGCGCAATTTGCTCTGCAGAGTTGCTTCCCTTGGGCACACTGTATAGCTGTGATAATGGATTTGGACCGTGGTTCACCCATCTGTGTTTTCACGTTTGTCTGCACCAAACCTGTGCTCATGAGTTTCACCAAAATGTTAAACATCAGAGACCTGCATCACTTTGGTTTTTTCTACCTCATTAAGTTGACATGCTGTGATACAAGTCTCATAAATGGTTGTAAGCGTGACCTATTAAGTACCTGTTAACCTTGATACAACAGGTATTTTTGTTGAAGATTAATATTATTAACACAGATTTAGGTACTGTGAAGTGTTGTTTTACATTATTTGTGTGTTAAACTGATGCAGTGTAAATTCCCTTATTACATTTGTTTTAACAGCTTGAGCTATGACATAATGTAAGGTGAATAGTGTGTTGAAAGAAATTAAACTAAACTCTTATTTATATATAATTTTGATTTATGAATAAGCTGTCATAGATAAGTACATGTACTCTTGAAACAGGTGAGCAAAAACTTTTATGATCTGTCTTCATGACAAGTCTAATTCTCGGAACCTCTTTACAATTACCGGTTATAGCTGCTTACAGATTCATTTTGTCGTGGCATGTTTATTTTATTTTAGAGAGTGAAGTAAATATAATGTAACAAATGCAGTTGTTTCATTCATTTTGCAGTGGATCTGAAAATCTGACATTAGCCATTCTCCATCCAAGAAAGATATCAGTGCTTGGTGTGTCAGGTGAGAAATATTACAAAAGTTCTTTTCTAACCCTGCCAACTCCTAGCAGTCGCTCCTGTGAAGATCCGGCTTAGACCTGGTCTTCAGTAGTCCATGCTTGTCTTAAGAGGCGACTAACAGGTTCAGGTGGTCAGGCTCGCTGACTTAGTTGACACGTGTCATGGTATCCCATCGATGCTCGTGCTGTTCATCACTGGAGTGTCTGGCCCAGACTTGATTATTTATAGACCACTGCCATATAGCTGGAATTTTGCTGAGTGCGACGTTAAACAACAAACCAACCAACCAATTTAGCAGTTGGTATCTATATCAATTATCATTTATGCATTAATTATGGGTGAGAATGGTACCAGTGTTTGTTATATGAAGTGACCGACATGGAGTGGGTGGTGATGATGGGTGACAACTGCCTGGTGACTGGTCATGCTGTCCAACACTGGTATACAAGCCATCATGATGTTTTGGAATATTGTTGACGATGGGATAAACATTATTCCCTCCAGAGCAATATTCAATCTAATAAGCATTGCATTCTTTTCCATTGACAGCAATCTCTGGCAGTGTTGGACACGGGAGCCATTATCAGATACAGCTACTGTATGAACACAGTCTACAGAGGACGGCTTTCAACTTCTGTTTTGGGCCGTTTGGTGGAGTAAAGGGTGAGCAGTACATTCATCTAGTCTGTTGGAGAAAATGTTCTATACACTATTATTACTATCAGTTATTGCAAATACCCGTGAAGGTCCGGGCTAGAATATTGATCTTCAGTAACCCATGCTTGTCGTAAGAGGCGACTAATGGGATCGGGTGGTGAAGCTCGCTGACTTGGTTGACACATGTCATCGGTTCCCAATTGCGCAGATTGATGCTCATGCTGTTGATCACTGGATTGTCTGGTCCAGACTCGATTATTTACAGACCGCCGCCATATAGCTGGAATATTGCTGACTCACTCACAACTCACATAGAGTTGATGGTCAGTGTGTTGACCCCTGTGTCAAACCAATTGTTACCCTGCCTTGACTTCAGCATTAAGGGGATACATCAAGGACCGGTCAGCTCTGAGTTAGTATTATGTGTCTGAGTTGGGTATCCTTGTAAAGCTATGACATCTTAGTGGGCTAACATCATCAAACAGGTGGAAGTCTGGACTCAAACAAAAAGCCCTCCACACATGTATGCCTCATCTCTATGTAGGTCAAGTTAAACATTAGTCAAACCCTAGTTTAATCCTATTTTACCTCACAGACTAATATCAAGGATATAAAATCTGTCATTCTTTTTCATTGAGATCTTCCTTGGGGTACATATATGCATTTTCTGTACAATAAATAAAAACCTTTTTATTTACTATACGGCCCCACCAACACGTGAGGTTACCTCCCCTACCACGAATGCGTGGCCAACCAGGTAAGCCCCCTAGACCGAATCATCATTCCTTCTGCTGTCACGCAACGTGTAACACGTGCTGTGCCTTGACTGAGTTGAATATGTCTGAGACATTGAATTCTGTATGTATTGTGTCTTTATTTTGTTCCAAAGGGAACGCCTTTCTTATTGACTATGCAGTTGTTCAGGTCTTATTTATTGTGACTTGTAATTGTAATTGCGCTATTTTCCTCATGGTTTACGTTAAATTGCTATTCCATGGCGGGAGTTTTAGCGTTGGTAAACTTGCTTATTAAAACATTGTTTCATTTAGCATTCTTCTTTTCACATATTTTCAATGTTTTTACGTGTTGTGGTGTACTTATTTATACCTAAAGCTCGTAAGAGAAGGGTGGCTGACTTCCTCATTTTCAAGGAGCTTAGAGAGGCGGGTGGTGACCCCACTGCAGAGGTTCCTCCCTCCAAGGCAAATCGGGCTAAGCATACGTCTAAACATACACAGGAAAAGTCTGTGTCTAATCAGCCTTCTTTTGATATGTCGATTATCAATCAATTGTTTCAGCAACACATAGATTCTATGAAATCCCTCCTTCATGAGTCGGTGGATGGGCTTCGCTAGGAGTTTCTCGCTGGCCCTGGAGGTGGGGCAGCGGGTCCGGGTGTGGGATCGCCGGGCTTGGCTCGATCTTTTAGCATTGAGACCGCCGTTGATCCTTTGCCTTTGGCTTCGTGTCTGGCCGTCTCAGCTCCGGAATAAGGAGGGTTCGTGCCCAGTCAATCTGTCTGTCTTGGCTAGTGGTCCGTTGAGCAACCACAGGGTTCTGCGAGCTCCAACCACTCAAGCGCCCTTGTGCTCGGAGGCCACTATTCCGCTAGTGAGCCTCCCAGAGTCTTGGGACCGGGGCCCTGTTCAGTGAGTGGCGTCCGGAAGGGAGAGTCTGCTGGGTTCCATCTTTCCTCTGGCGTCCTCGGGGCGGTCTTCGACCAGGTCGGTTGTAGGGTCCTCTCTTCGGGGGGATCCCGACTCTGGCTCGGGTTCAGAGGCCAAAACCAAGGAGGTTCAGAGGCAGAAGAACCAAGGAGGTCAGCCTTACGGGAGGTCCGCCAATGCATTGCAGAATCAGGCCGGTGCTGCAGGAGGAGGGCTCGACAGAGTTCCACCTACGCAGGTTATCGCCCCTCGGTAGACTACTCAGACTATTCTCCACGTTCTGCCAACGCTGGTACAGGATTATTATTATTATTATTATGCGATATCTATATAGCGCACATATCCAGGCAACTAATGCTTGCTCAAGGCGCTGGTATCTTTTCCCTCGATCATTGGAGTCAATCTCAACGGCACATCGTGTTATCAATCTCAACTCCCTTGCTCACTGGTTCACATCTCCGTTTTGACTTACCTGAATTAGTTAAATGGTACCAGTTGGGGGATGACTCGCTTTTCCAGGAACCGGTGGTGGACAAGTGCATCTATACTTCAGTTACCCTGGGGGGAGGCTCGGCTTCCTTGTTGGCAGCTCCGGCAGCCAAGCAGGGTTGGTTCCACCATTTCCCCACTCGAGGGCCCCTCTGCGGGCTGCATACCGGAGCTATGAGGAGGTATTCCAAAATGCTAGCCAACAGATTCGGGTAGCGGTTCATGGCGCATATCTTTCCTCACTACAAAGATCCGTCATGGAAACGATTGCGATTGGCGGCGTCTGAGGTCATGTGCACAGCTGTGGCAATTGCACCGAAGGTGGCTTTCTACCTCTAGGTATTCGGTGGCTACACAGCAGACCTTTCTGACCCTTCCGTTTAGCCTGGGCGCGACTCTGTTTACGGGGATGCAGCAGGTCATACGGGAGGCTACAACTGCAGCTACCTCCTTCAAAAATTCGGTGGTGGGATGTCTGCCCCAACCTCCCATTAGACGTGCCAGTTCCTCAGTTGGGTCTGTCCCTGCCGGTTTTGCAGGGGACCACTCACGCACTTCTGCGCCCGACATTCCAGTGGGTGGCCGCCTCTCTCTCTTCCAGCCCGAATGGGAGACGGCTGCAAACAATCCTTGGGTGCTGTCCACCATTGCTGTCTGACACTTACCACTTTGAAACGAGGTTTGCAGGGTTTACCGGCATAAGGCGCACTCCGGTGCCGTCCTGTCAGGTCAAGGCGGGGATTCTGTGCGACGAAGTCTAGGCTTTGCTGGACAAGTCCGCCATAGAGCGTGTTCCACCAGGAGAGGAAATGTCGGGTCTGTACTCCACATACTTCCTCGTCCCGAAGAAAGACGGAGGCTTCTGTCCCATATTCAACCTCAAGGGGTTAAATCACATCATAGAGGTTCCATCCTTCAAGATGGAGCAACTTCGCTTAGTGATCTCCTCTGTTCAGAGGGGCGGTCGGGTAGCCTAGTGATTAAAGCGTTGGCTTGTCACGCCGAATCCCCACATGGGTACAATGTGTGAAGCCCATTTCTGGTGTCCCCCGCCGTGATGTTGCTGGAATATTGCTAAAAGCGGCGTAAAACCAAACTCAGTCACTCAGTCCTCTGTTCAGCCCGGTGATTGGCTAACGTCAATCGACCTAAAGGATGCGTATCTTCATGTATCAATACACCCCTCGTTCAAGAGTTACCTTCGGTTCTCTTACAACGGGGTTTGTTATCAGTTCCGGGTGCTCCCCTTTGGCATATCTACTGCTCCCAGGGTGTTCACCGAACTCTTGTTAGTGCCAGCCACATTAGCAAGGTCGCAGGGACGGCATTGTCATCCTTACCTCAATGACTGGTTGCTGCGGGCACTAACTCAACCAGCTAGTCAGGATTCTACACACACAGTGCTAGATATTCTTGTTGGACTAGGGTGAACTTCCTCCTCTCACCCATCCTTCAACATCGGGGATCACTACCACGTGTGCTCACCTTCAAGGTTTATATCAAACGAATGCTGGGTACCCAGCTGTACTGCTGTTAAGGTGGCGGGAAGGCTGGGCTTCCTGCCAGTAAACAATCTATCTCTCGCAGGCTTGTTTCCGTTATTTGTGCAGCTTATCAGGAAAGGGTAAGGTTCCCCCCTGTGAGGGCAGTCGCTACGTCGAAGAGATTTGCTGCGCCGCTATTTGGAGTCTGCCAAATACTTTTATCCAACACTACCAACTTGACATGCATTTTAGAGAACGTGCTCGGTTTGGTCGGTCTGTTCTGTCCAGTGGGCAGTGTCCTGCCACCCTGACTGAGTGAGTCTCGTTTCATTGGTCTGGTTCTGCGTTTGATTGCAATTATCGATTATCCACTGAAGGCTTCTATCACTCATCACAAAATTTATCTCCTGTCAGAATTGACTGTGTTTGTTATGTGTTGGCCCTTTCGGTGCTCCTACGCTATTTATCATTATGTGGGTGGGGCGTTTACACATTATTACTTGTGTTCTCAAGTATTAACACGATTTATCGGATCTCAGTACATTCCTCCCTTACGGGTCACCTCCCAGCATGCCTCATTTCGAGTTGCGGTCATGTGACCAGGTGAGTGTTATGGCGTTAGTAACGATTTGTTTACGATATCGCTATTGTTTGTACCGTAACAGAATTCCCATCTGCCTAGTCTTCAGTCTTTGGGAGTATGTACCCCAAGGAAGATCTCTATGAAAAAGAATTAGCTTAACCTGTAGAGGTTTCCAATTCTTTGAAGAGAATCTTCCTTGGGGTAGGGCCTCCCACCTCCCCGCAATTCTGTTCACTGACTTTTTCCCGTCAGCAGAAGGAATGATGATTCGGGCTAGGGTGCTTACCTGGTTGGCCACGCATGCGTCATAGGGGAGGTAACCCCATGTGGTGGGGGGACCGTATAGAAACTACAAAAAGCCTTTTTATTTATTGAACAATCTTTTATTAAAACATTGATACAACTGTCACATGACATTTTCAGTCTCAGAAAATGAATATATGTACCCCAAGGAAGATACTCTTCAAAGAATTGGAAACCTCTACAGGTTTAGCGAAATTTGCACTAGGTTCTTCAGTGCTCTAATCTCTTTCAGGACGTGTGGGGCGGTGGGGTAGCCTAGTGGTTAAAGCGTTCGCTTGTCATGCCAAAGAGCTGTGTTCAATTCCCCACATGGGTATACTGTGTGAAGCCCATTTCTGGTGTCCCTGGCCGTGATATTGCTGGAATATTGCTAAAAGCGGCCTAAAACTAAACTCACTTACTCGCTCACTTTCAGGACGTGATTTTCTGTGTGTGCAATCAATGGATGGAACGGTATCAATCTTTGAGCAAGAGAGTTTTGCATTCAGCCGCTTCCTCCCCTGGCGCCTTGTTGCCAGGACCTATCAAGTACATCTCTCGCACAGACAGCTTCATCACTGTGTCCTCCATGAGACAGGTGGAGAGCTACAAGTGAGTCAGAGATGTACTGGAGTTGTGATATATTGATTTGCCTTGAGTAAAAACTAAAATAGATTACAGAAGCATGGGTTTCATGTATCAACAGCTGTTGGCATCAAGGTTTTTTTCGCTTTATATTTTGACTTAGCTAATTTTAAGAGAAGTTGCTGTTGAATTTTATCATGTTTATAGTTAATTATCCATATGAGTTCATAAATCAATTCACTGGATGTTGTGTTATTCCTCTTTTCTTTCTAACTGTGTACTGAAAGAAATGTATGTATTTGTATTTTACATTATACAAATGTTTGTGGGCATTAGAGTGTTTCAAGTTTGTTGAAATGTTAACAAAACCACAATCCCAAAATCTGTTGCCCAGGTACCAGGTGCTGGCTGTGGCAAGTGACTCCAGCAGCAAGGAGGAGTCTCAGAACCTCAAGTCTGGCAAGAAAGTTGCAGTAAGTAACCTTGGTAACACTCATCTCTTCACCTGGACTAAGGCCAGTGGTTATCTGTGCAGATTACATGTTCAGTGTACTGAAGACCCAGGATTGATTCAAGACTAACATGAACTCAGTATCTGGACAGTGTTTGGTATCCTAGCTTTGATTTTACTACAACAGCTGCAATTTACTCAGTGTTTGGCTTCCTGTGGTTTCATTTTGCACCCAGTCAAAAGCCAGTCTACAGTGGCAGTAGTCAACTTTTACAGTGTTGATGGCATTAATATACAAAATATTAAATCAAAATTTTGATGCTGGGTTTTCCATTCTATTTGACTGAAGACCAGCTTAAGGTCATAACAGGTGTAAAGAAATATGGAGAGTGGCTCTGATGTCCCTAGCTGGATAGTGTGTCCTGTATCACATGGTTAGCAACTGCTATAATCTCTAAAGCCAATAATATCAACAAGTTATGGCATTGTAGTGTACCTTTCATACAGAACATGCATATGGGTAAATGGTAAAGTCAGAAACTTTGGTGGTGTTGGCCTGTTTGCCATTTTGTGTACTGCTGTGTTGCCATGTTGCTTAGGTACATTTTGTGTGTTTCAGATGGACTGGGCTTTCAACATTGGAGAGCAGGCTATTGACATATCTGTGATATCATTCCAGCAAGCTCCACCATGTGTGATGGTGCTAGGTATGTGTGGTGATGTTCAGAATCTGAGGTTCTTGAGCTGAAGACATACAAATATTTGTTAAAAAACAATTTGGGTTTGGTACTTGTTGAAAGTTAGATTTTCAGTGGAAGTTTGAAATGTTAAGTGGTGCAAGATGTCAGTCATCTGAACATTTCCAAATACTTTGATAGCAATATTCCATAATCTGCAGTGGACCCAAGTGTCCCAGAAATCTAAGGCACTGCTATTCCCTGTGTAGAATCGCATTCCTCAGTTGGGTCAAGAATCCTACAAGCATCAGTTTCGAATCCCATATTCATCCTTATTATGATTCTTGAATTTTCATCACCATACCCTCTCATGGGTTTCACCAAAGCTTTAAACATTCAAGACCTGCATCAGTTCTGGCTTTCAAGCCACAATATGCAGGCATGTTGTGATGTACCTGGAATACAGCAAGATTGTGTTAATCCCAAGTCACTGACACTTGGTGGACACATGTCATCATATCCCAGTTGTGTAGAACGATGCTCATGCTGTTAATCCCTGGATTGTCTGGTCCAGACTCGATTATTTACAGACTGCTGGAATATTGCTGAGTGCAGCGTAAAACTAAACTCACTCACTCACTCACTCACTCACTCACTCACTCACTCACTCGTTCACTTGATGCTATTCTAAACTGTATGGGCATTTGTGTTTTTCAGGGGAAAGGAATTTGTTCTGTCTGACAGACAATGGAAAGTTGCGCTACATGAAGAAGTTTGAATTTGATCCAGCTTGTTTTGTGCCTTACACCTCAAGTAAGTAAACAGTGAATGTTGTTAGACATTTTCATTGAAGATAATGATGATGAATGCTGCATAACTATCTGACTTATCAATTCTGAGATCAAGTACATTATTTGGGTTACTTGTTTCTCGCAGTTCTATAGAACTGTACTTTAATTTCATAAGTCACATAATTTTGTCATGGTTAAGGCTAAAAGAATACCTGACATGTTTCTGGGTTTTTTTGTTTTTTATGCGGGACATTTATAGAATTAATCTGTTTGTAATCTTGATCTCCTTTCCCAAAGGGTTGTTAGGGTAGTCTAGTGGTTAATGCGTCTGCTTGTCATGCTGAAGACCTGGGTTTGATTCTCCACATGGGTACAATGTGTGAAGCCCATTTCTGGTGTCCCTGCTGTGATATTGCTGGAATATTGCTAAAAGCAGCGTAAAACCCAACTCACTCACTAACTCATCATGCTCAATGGCAAGGTACCCACTTACCGAGGAGTCATCTAAGGCTGGATGCTTATAGTGAGGTCATCATCTGTCTTCGGGTTTGGCATTATACCCACTCTCCTTGCCCACAGATGAACTAAGACATTCAGAAATTTTAGGTTGTGGTCAACAGATGGATAACTCAAGAATACAGAGAAACATAGAGTTGAGTTTTAGAGAAATTGGGCGTTTTTTATTCAGTAACAGAAGGGACCATCAGCTACATTGTGGGAACACATACCTCGTCTCTGATGATCTACCAAGATGTCACCCTCAAGTGGGCAGCCAAGATGGAGCACATGCCTGTTCATGTATGTACAGGAAACATGAAGTAAGTAGGAAAATGCAATCAGTACATCACAAAGTAGAGAGGGAGGATGGTCTTCATATGTGCAGTAAGGCATTCAGAGCATGAATTATTTGACAGTGATTTCAAACACAAGAAATGAAGGATTATTTCTCTCTAGTGAATTAATGCTGTAAATGTGTCTCGTTGAGCATGGACAGAGAGACATAATCCATAATGGCTGGTGTCGATTACTGATATTACCTGACTGGGTGAAATTTATGAATCTACGGTAAACACAAATAAGTTAAGGTTAAAATAGTTAAGACAAATACACCATATATATATACTGCATCACTGATATAACAATGATTAACAAATAGATTCACTGTGGCGATGACAAAACTTTATGGATGATCAACTTCTTTATTTTCACAATAGCGGCGTTGTGGTATTGCTCCTTATACCGTTGGGTTGAAAATCTTATAAGAAGCTATACCAAAACATTGCTATTGTGAAAATAAAGAAGTTGATCATCCATAAAGTTTTGTCATCTCTATACCACCAACTTCTAGAATGCCACTCAAACAAATTACACTGTGGCTTCCAGTTGAATCAATCTAAATTAGGTATTAGTTTAGCATTTCAAGTGTTAAGCTGGGTTCCCATTTTCGGATGACACTGTTTTATTGTTTGTAAAGGTTCATCAATGAGCTGTTTGTATTTGTTTCAATGTACATGTGTCAGTTCATAGTCTTTGCTGAAAGGATAACTGTTGTGGGGATGACCTACAAAGTTTCACACAAGACAAAAAGTGATTAACCCACCATTTGTTGTTACTCATGGTGAGAACTCCCGGCGTACCCCATCCTGTTGTAAGAGCTGACAGTCATGTCAAATGAGGTTAAGCTGGTTACATTGTGTGACCAAGCTGATGGTATATGATCTTGTGCCGACACATTGGATCATTGCTCGTTGTGTTGGTTGCCTTTGGTTTGTCTGGTCCAGACTCGATAAATTATAGATTCCATAGATACATTCTTCTTCATAGAGATCGTCCTTGGGGTACATATTATGCATTTTCCACGCTGAAAATGTCCTGTGACAGTTGTATCAATGTTTTTTTAATAAAAGATTGTACAATAAATAAACTTTTTTATTTATTATACGGCCCCCACCTCGTGGAGTTACCTCCCGTTGAGCATGCGCACCCACTGGGTAATCACCTAGGCCCGTATCATCATTCCTTCTGCTGTCACTCACATGTGTAGACGTGTTAGATGTGTTGAGCAGCGCTGTACTCTCCAAGAGAACTTGAAAGAGCTATGTCTGAGACAACACCACCTGTATGTATGGTCTTTATTTTACATACATACATACATACACATACATACATACAAATATTTGTAAAGCGCTTTTTATCAATCTAATTGCTCAAAAGAGCTATCTGAGTCCACTTTATCCATGTGCAGAGGTGAATAGGTGCGTCTTGAGTCCACTTTTAAAATTTGACAGTTCTGTTTCGGAACGAAGGATGGATGGTAAATTGTTCCAGAGGAAGGGTCCTGCTCTAGAAAAAGACCTGTCCCCATATGACTTAGTTCTAGTTTGTGGTATTTCAAGGAGAGACTGGTCCCTTGAGCGGAGTGATCTAGTTGGGTGATATGGTGTAAGGAGATCCGAGAGGTATTTTGGAGCTAGACCGTTTAGACACTTGAAAACAAGGAGCAGGATTTTGTAGTCAATTCTGAAGCGAATTGGAAGCCAATGTAGGGTTTTGAGGGCAGGAGAGATGTGTTCAGTCCTTTTAATTTGACAGATCAATCGTGCGGCTGAATTTTGTGCCTTCTGTAGCCTGTAGAGGACTTGTTTTGGCACACCAGACAGCAAAGAGTTACAATAATCCAAGCGGGATGTTACATATGCTTGAACTAGAGCTTGTGCAGATTTCACATCCAAGTATCGACGGATCAAACCAATGTTGCGCAGATGGAAATAACATTGGCGACAGATATTGCGAACATGGGGTTCCTTGAAAGGAACAGTAAAGCTTCGCGGTCGGTTGTTTCATAATTGTGACTTTGTATTAATTATTTTACGCTCACTTTCCCATGGTTTACGCACATGTTGCTCTGCCATGGCGGGAAGTTTAGCGTGCCACGTGGTTGTAATATTGCGTATTGAACCAATTATTGCTTCCCGTGGTAGCCTTCACGTATTTTTCAATGTTTTCTACGTGTATCTTTGCTGCTGGTCCGCTGTTAGCTCCATTCAGGCATTTTCCTCCTGTTCGGTCTGTGGGCAAAGCATACACAGGGCCGACCGCCATGATAAATGCATCGTGTGTTTGGAGAAAACGGATCATATCTCGGAAACCTGTGAGATTTGCATGGGCTTTTCCCCCCGGGCCCAGAAGAGAAGGGCGGTGGATTTTCTCTTTTACAGAGAAATGCGTGAGGCGGGAGGGGAACTGACCCAGGTCCCCCCGTCCAAAGCGAAAAAGCCTCGCAGTAAGGGCCGAAAGTCGCGTAGCCAGTCGCCTTCTCCCGCTCCTAGTAGCGGTTTTGATATGTCGTTAATAACTCAGTTGTTCCAGCAGCACGTGGACTCGATGAAGTCCCTCGTTCATGAGTCGGTTGGAGGGCTCCGGCAGGAGTTCCTCGCCCACTCTGCGCGGGGGACGGAGAGTCTGGGGATGGGATCGCCGAGCCCGGCTCGATCCCTCGGCCTTGAGGCGTCTGTAGATCCGTTGCCTCTGGCTTCGGATCCGGACGCCTCGGCTGCCCCGGAGGGGGAGGGTTCGCTCCCAGTCCCCCTCTCGGAGTTGGCGCAGGGTCCGTTGAGGATTCCTGAGGTTCCGGTCCCTGCGCCGTCCCGCCCCATGAGAGCGGAGGCAACAGTTCTGCCTGGTCTGCCTCCAGCGTCTCGGGACCGGGGTCTGTGCGAGTTGGCAGGTGCTGATGCGGGGCGCTCTGTCTGCTCCTCCCTCTCTTCTGTGCCTGGTGCTAGGCCGCCCACCGGGTTGGGGTTCGGGTCCTCGCGAGGAGACCCAGCCTCGGACTCGGGCTCAGGCGCCGAGTCCATGGATACTGGGGAGGTTGAGGAGCAGGAGGGTGCCTTCCGTTTTTCGTCGGCTTTGCGGGAGGTCCTACAACGCATTGCCAAGTTCCTACCCCAGGCCGCGGTGCCTGCCAGCCGCTCGGACTCGTCTGAGTTCTGCCTGCCAGGCGAGGCGTTTGCCCCTTGGCAGCCTACGCAGACGCTGCTCCGTATTCTTCCATCGTTGGTCCAGGACGTGGTCGATCCCCTCCTGTCTGGGTCTCGCCTCCGTTTCGACTTGCCTGAGCTTGTCCGGAGGTACCAGCTGGGGGAGGATTCCCTGTTAAGCTGTTCCAATGGTGGATGAGTGCGTGTTTACTTCGGTCGCCTTGTGGGGAGGCTCGGCTTCCTCCGGAGCAGCTCCGGCTGCTCGGCAAGGGCGGTTAACACCACCGTTTGCCCTCGCGGGCGCCCCCCTACAGTATGCGTATCGGACCTACGAGGAGGTCTACCGGAACGCTATGCAGCAGGTGCGGGCGTGGTCCATGAGGCCTACCTCTCCTCAATCCAGAGGTCGGCCCTGGAGGCGGAGGGCATGCTGGAGACGCCCTCCGCATGTCGTGCTACTCCGTCAGTTATCGGAAGTTCAGGCACACCTGCGCGACGCCACTCCTTGCGCGTCAGCTGCATCGACGGTGATGTGCGCAGTCATGGGGATCGCCAAGCTGTGGCTGTCGACGCCTCGGTACTTTCGGCAGCTACACAGCAGACCTTGTTGGCCCTTCCCTACCGTCTGGGGCGGCAGCTGTTTCCTGGGGCCCAGCAGGTCATACGGGAGGCTGCCGCTGCAGCTACCTCCTTCAAGGACTCTAAGGCCTTGTTGGAGCACCCAGCGGGCTTCGCCCGGGCTCCGTTCCACCTTCCTCCGCCGGGTGCAGCCTACACCCGAAGTCCGGCTGGCTGGCCCGGCCGCTTGGCAGAGGTAGGCGGGAGAACCGGTCCGCCAAAGGGTAAGGGCAAAGAGCAGTCCTCTTCGACTAGCTCCTAGCCTTTTTCGTGGCTGCAGGACTGCCCGACCTCCTGTTAACCCATCAGGCTGTAGACCCAGCCGTGTGTCACTCCCAGTCAGCTCCTGCTGCTTCGGGACCACGCCGACGCCGCTCTTACCCAACGTCCCAGTGGGAGGCCGCCTCTCTCTATTCCTGCCGGAGTGGGAGAAGGCTACAAACAACACTTGGGTGCTGTCCACCGTCAGTGTCGGCCATTTACCACTGGCGAAGGTCCGTCCTGACTTCACCGGCATACGCCGCGACTCCGGTGCCGTCATGTCAGGCAAGAGCGGACATATTGCGCAGCGACGAAGTCCAGGCTTTGCTGGACAAGTCCGCAATCGAAAGCGATACCACCGGAGAGGAACAGGGCGGATTTTACTCCACGTACTTCCTCTCCCGAAGAAAGAGGCGGGTTCCGTCCGATTCTCAACCTCAAGGGGTTGAATTGCATGCTCGAAATTACCATCCTTCAAGATGGAGACACTGCGCCGGTGATCTCCTCTGTTCAGCCCGGGCGATTGGCTCACGTCAATCGACCTCAAGGATCGTGATTATCTGCATGTGCCCATACATCCATCGCTCAAGCAGTACCTTCGGTTCTCTTTACGACGGGATGTGTTACCAATTCACGGTGCTCCCCTTCAGCATATCCACTGCCCCAAGGGTGTTCACCAAGCTCATGTTAGTCCCGCTACCCTCGGCCGCGCCAAAGGAAGGCGTTGTTACCCTTACCTCGACGACTGGTTGCTCGGTGCACTGACACAGCCAGCGAGCCTAGATTCTACTCACAAGGTGAACAAACGTTCAGTACGAGGATAGGCTCGCTGGTGTTCAGATAGGGGATTGCAGATCCCTTTTCTGCGGATTTAGTCCGAAGTTTTGGAGTTTTGCAAGCCCGCTTTGGAAGAAGGCCTGGCAACACGACCATTGCGTGGCTACTCCACCGCTATTTCC